TCAGACATCACGGAAGCCTTCGCTGAAGGTCATATCGCCGTTCCTCGACCGACGCAGAGGAAGCTTCGCGAAGGCATGCGCCGGCGACACCTGAATCCAGATCATCATCATCTAGAAGGACATCGAGGGACTATACAAGAGCTTCAAAAAACTATCAACGCTCCCCTCACAAGTCTCCTCGAAAGATCAACCCATAGACAAGTTGATCATCGATATCAAGTATAAGAACTACAATCGTATATTGGTTCTGTTGAATCCATGAAGAGACGTATGTTCGCTGGCCTAAATAGATCTAGAACGATCAATTAGACACACATCACCAGACTTCGTGAACACGACTTCTGAATATGATAAGATGATCCATGCGGCCCTCTATTTAGGCAAGCGCCACGATCCCACATCCTGTTAAACACAGAGGCTGTTCACGGCAAGCCATATATATATTTATATATATATATATATATATATACTAATCGGCTTTTGATTTCGACACCTTCGCAGCGATGGTCGCGAAGGCTAAGTGGCTCCAAGTCTACTTCACCCAGAAGATCTAGAAGGGATACTTCGAGAACTTCGCTAAGTCTCCGGGCGCTCACCGAGGAAGTCTCCTCCAAGGTTTCCATATACTAGCCACTCGTCATATATAGCTACTGTCAGTCCGTTTCAAGACGCCGCATAAGTTGATTATCAACTGTATGCCAGATGCCGCCTATAAGCCTACGCGAAGATAATTGCTCAGGCTATTTACAACACAGAACGCCGCTGTATTAATAGTCAACGACATTTCATAGATCTTCACAGAAATCAACTATTCCGTATAAATTGCTAATATACAATCCCGACGATCGACGATACGATTATCTACATGCGACCATTACGCATATCTGCAGACAATTCAATATCGAAATTGAACAGCAGCCTTGTTACAGCGAGTATAACTCTTAATCGCCAAAGTTTCTGAGAAGAAATATGTACAACAAGTTCAACGTTAATTCTACAATTATGACGATACATTCATGTATACAGTCTACAAGCTCACAACTTGCAAGTTGTTTATACCCTTATATATAAGGAAGTCGGAATTATATTCAAAACTGAAATTACTTTCTACGACAACCAGGAAAATAACCTACCCAGCATAAAATTACAGAGCCGAGATATTTCGCGCCGGAGGTTTTCGCTGATTACCATTAACCCTCAAACACGTGGTCACCGGATAACTTCGAAGCTACGGTGAAGACCGACGCTTATGCTAATATCAACGACGACAAGAATTTATTCAAGGTGGGTTTTTTCCCCGCTACACCGTGACATCACAGCTGGTATTATACAGAATCAAAATGCCTTGTTCTGATTGGACCGCTGAGGGACAACGACCTACACAGAGGTCGATCTCAATTCACAGTTCAAGACTTACGCCACAAGTGACAACTATATATCAGTGAACGAAAGCAAGCCTCATTACAGTCCAGTTAACCTGAACATTCATGATTAGACTGCCTTTCTTCAGTTAGAGACCTCCCTGTCAAGTTAAGACGAGGGATCGGCAGTCAGGCTGATTTTACATAAAGTTCAACGAGGACAGACACACCTGGTTGTGCACCTACATCGCCAAGGACTTCGCGAGCTTAATTACCTAGACGAAGATACAAGTGGATCTAAATCCACAGCGCTTTCAGACTACAGCTGAATTTCATCAAGCGACTAACACAACTAGATGGTTAGTAAACCTACTAAACTTCTGTTTGGAGAATAAAACGGAAATTTCACGCCCAACCTGGGGATATGAATATAGTGTCTCCAACACCTCACAAGTGAGGTTTATGAACACGCCTGGATGACATACTTGGACCCCATGATAATGATGATTCTATCAAGTTGGCCAGCAAGAGCACTGTAAATTTATCTCCACCAAACCAAACAGGAGGAAAAATGCAACAGATTATTTCCTCTATCATCAACTTACGCAGAGTGAAGTCTCATGTACTATATCTCCATTTGGATCAGAACTGTCATACTACGTGCATATGCGGGATGGACCTATTCTCGACCCTCCATGAGCTTAATACTCATGATATTATAGCTTAACTTCTACAATTGTTCTACACAAATGTGATTGAAATAATGGAGGGTTATTTCTGGAACTGATATGGTGGTTGCAAACCATTATCTGAGAGATATCACCACCGAGGACGCCTCAGGTATACACCAATTCGATCCCATGGTCCTCGCACAACAGCTGACAGTTCCTCGGAGAAGATAAGTCAATCTAACAGATTTTTACTTATCTTATAACAATACTAAATAGCTTCATGCTATGTATAATTTACTTAAGTTCCTTTTATCATCACAGTACTATGATTATTACATCATACAATATATAAGTTAACAACTCTACAGAGTTTGTTATTATATATATTTACCTTAAGTTATTCATATCTTAAGAGTAATACTATGGTTACATGATAAATGCATTAGCTAACAAACTCTACAGAGTTTTTGGCTATTTTATACATAGCTTAAGTTAATTAAGCTAACAAACTCTAAGGAGTTTTGCTATTATATAGGTAGCTTAAGCTTATTCATATCTTAAGCTTAGTACTATGTTTATATCATATAAGTAGATTAGCTAACAAACTCTAAAGAGTTTTTTGCTATAAGTATCATCATATTTCTAAGCAATATGGTTATATTATAACATGTATTAGCTAACAAACTCTACAGAGTTTTAGCTATCATATATGTAACTTAAGCTTATTCATATCTTAAGCGCAGTACTATGTTTATATCATATAGGTATATTAGCTATCAAAACTCTAAAAGAGGGTTTTGCTATTATATATTTCGCTTAAGTTTCATCATATTTTAAGCTTTATGGTTACATTATAACATGTATTAGCTAACAAACTCTACGGAGTTCTTGCTATTATATATGTAGCTTAAGTTTTCCTTCATAAGCTCAATACTAGGTTTATATCATAGCTAACAAACTCTAAAGGGTTGTTTTCGCTATTATACAATTAGCTTAAGTTTCATCATGTCTTAAGCAGTATGTTTACATTATAAAGGTATTAGCTAACAAAACTCGACGGAGTTTTGTTATTATATATATATAGCTTAAGTTTCATCATAACTTAAGCTCAGTACTATGTTTTTAACATAAAAAGTATATTAGTTAATAAACTCTAAGGAGTTTATTTTGCTATATACTTTTAGCTTAAGTCTAATCTTATCTTAAGCTTAGTACTATGGTTACACTATAAACATATTAGCTAATAAACTCTACAGAGTTTTTTTGGCTATTATATATGTAGCTTAAGTTAATAATATCTTAAGCACAATACTATACTCATATTGTAAAATATATTAGCTAACAAACTCTACGGAGTTTTGCTATTATATATGTAGCTTAAGTTCATTATATCTTAAGCACACTACTATACTCATATTGTAAAATATATTAGCTAACAAACTCTACGGAGTTTTGCTATTATATATGTAGCTTAAGTTAATTATATCTTAAGCACACTACTATACTCATATTGTAAAAATATATTAGCTAACAAAACCCTACAGAGTTTTGCTATTATATATGTAGCTTAAGTTAATTATAGCTTAAGCACAGTACTATACTCATATTATAAAAATATATTAGCTAACAAACTCTACAGAGTTTTTGCTATTATATATGTAGCTAAAGCTTATTCATATCTTAAGCTCAGCATTATATCTATATCATATAAGTATATTAACTAACAAACTCTAAAGAGTTTGCTATTATATAATTAGCTTAAGTTTAATCATATCTTAAGCTTAGTACTATGTTATATCTTAAAGTATTTTAGCTAACAAACTCTAAGGAGTTTATACTAGCATATTAACAAGCTTAAGTCTATTAGTCTTAAGCATTGTATTAATGTTATATATACTTTATCATAATAAGTACATGATAATAACCTTTTTATATGGCAGCTGATAAGTTAGCAGCAGGAATTCATCAGTTCAGTGCCTTTATGAAGTTCCCATAGGGTTATTACAATCATTACAGTTCAAATCACTAATTATTAAAAATCCAAAGTATTAGATATTCCCACCTCCGTCTCGTAGGATGCTACAAACAAAAGAGATGAGTCAGGATAAGGAAAAATATGTAATTTTTGGAGTAAAATTGATATTTTATACTTATCCTGACTCATGAGGTCAGCCCTCCCATCCTCCCCAAATAACACTTTGGATTTCCCTGTAAATTCAAATGTTGGGCTCAGTATATGAGGAGAGAGTGAGGCACATGGGTAGAGGTGGCGCCCTCGTTCCCGCGCTTGTGAAAAGGAGGTAACTCGTGGTGAATACTAATTAGTGATTTTAAATTGAAGGGAGCTTCAATTAGGGAGATACAAGTGTTCCACTATGTTCGCAAGAAGAAGAAGACAAGCAAAAAGAGCATGAGTCAGGATAAGTATAAAATATCAATTTTACTCCAAAAAGTACATTTTTATACTTATCCTGACTCATGAGGTTAGCCCTCCCATCCTCCCCACATAACACTTTGGATTTACCTGTAAATTCAAGTGTTGGGCTCGCTAAATCAGGAGAGAGTGGAGCACATGGCCAGAGGGTGGCGACACCTTTTCCCGCCAGGGGAGACAAAGGGGAGCAACTCGTGGTGAGTACCAATTAGTGATTTTATTTTGAAGGGAGCTTCAAATAAGGAGATACAAGTGTTCCACTATGTTCGCAAGAAGAAGAAGACAAGCAAAAGAGCATGAGTCAGGAAAAGTATAAAATATCAATTTTACTCTAAAAATTACATTTTGATTCCTATCTTAAGTTAAGCAGTTTATCTAGGCTTTCAGTTCTTTCAACTTCAGATAGGAAGCGTATGTGGACAGTGTACTTCATTGGTTTTGATGTCCCCCATGAATATAGGAATTATAAGGTATATTTGATGCAGAGCTGCATGGCAATATTTTACACTAAAACTGATGAGATTTGATTTTCAGCTTCCTGTTGGCAATACCATGGGGGAATGGAACGAGTTGAAGTCAGATGTCCAAACCAAAACAATCATGCTCAGTGGTCTCCCAAGAATAACAAGACAAGCAGAAGTATGTAGCTAGCCCTTATATTTTTACTGCAAAATGCTGGTTAAACAACCCGATTCCTTCTGTCAGTCAAAACAGGTGCATGCGTCAAGCAATCAATATACCAAAAAATCGCCAGGTAGATATTAAGAAGTTGTAATCCATACAATTGCTACGTCATTACCCAACTTCTGAAGATGCCTATCAAACATTACTCTCTCATTATTTTTGATATGCAGCTGAGGTGTCATGAAGGACTTACTGTTTGTTTATGTAGCTATGGCTGAAAATCAAGGGGTTCTGTTCTGAGTGTTAAATATAGGAACTGTAGGAGTTTCCTTACTCCAAGATCCTCCTGACTTTTTGGATGGAACAGGAAACACAGAGAGATTAATGTTTCGAGCCAACAATTGAATTATGTCAGATGGGCCACACCTGCTCCCTCGACCGTGACGTACGCAGGGACTGGGGAGCTGTCTACCTTGGCAGAATTTCTTCAACAAAAACAATGAGACAATAAGAACGGTGGATGCCCATTGGATGCCGTTATTTGAAAATATCCCCTGATCCAATTTGATCCTATTTCTTTGTCTTTCTTACCTCAATATTTAATCATGTCATGAGACAATGTGATGTCTATATTGACCTATTTTAAAAACATGCATTGGATTTATTTGAATCCGTAAACTGTAGACAAAAAGAAACTCAGAAAAATCTAAACAGTTACTTAAGTCAACAGGTATTATTCAGTTTTTAACTTTAGTAAACAATTAAGTTCAGTTCCTCTAAACAGTGTCAACCCCTAAGTTTTTTGTAGGCAAATTGCATGCAGTACAGTGATTATTATCCTCTGTTGCTGTTACCCATGTTTGGTGGTATAAGCCTACACCTGTTTATTTGTCATCATTCACATGACAGTCAATTAATGAATTTATAACAAGTATAATTAGTGATAACACCACTCAGATTACACAACAACTATGTTTTAGCTTTTCTCATGTCTGGAGTAAATACTCAATATTATAAATGAAAGTCTAATGTGGCAAATGTATTCCCTGTTATGTAATACTGAGCATGGAAGTGCAGCAAGAGGAAATATCAGCTGAGTTACAAAAAACAGACATCAATCACAGGATTCACCGATAACACGTTGATTGATTAATTACTTTTATCATGCACAGCGGATTTGTCAAAAGTTAGTGTTTGTTTGTAGATTTACTAACATATACTGAATACATCCACATTCTGTCATTAAGTGTCTGTGTAAACACAATGTCCTTCCTTCAAAAGATTAGCCGATAATGATTTATCATTGTTATCTAACTAAATTATTTTTCAAAGAATGGTGGACAGTATGTAAACAATTGTCAGGTGGGCTATCTTGGGTGACCAACCAATGAAATACTGAAACTCATACAAGCACATCGTGAAAGCCTATGTTAAATTTCCAAAATCATCTGAAACAAAGTCATGTGACATTAATGGATACATTCCTCAAACAATGTAATAGCCTATGTTAAAACTTTCCAAATCATCATCATCATCATCATCATCATCATCATCGATGTGAGACTGACATGCACAAAGTTTGTTCCTTTATGTGGCATATTAATGGATACATTCCTCAAAAAACAATGTAATAGCCTGATATTTCTGTTATAACTTTAGTTGGTGATAATTTTGATATTTGTATTTTGTTCTTATTCGTTTGTTGGAGCATTTAACAAAATTATTCCACTTCACTTTTTTTTGCCGAAGTTCGATGTGAGACCGACAACATGCACAAAGTCGTGTGTGTGTATGTGAAATATGATTCACTTAGGCAATCTATAAAATATCTAGATACTACAGTCACTTAATAAACTCACTAAAAACAGATCGTGTACTCTTATGTGAGGCTCCAAAGTGCACAGAAATATAATAATACATTAATTATGCTAGGATAATAAGGCACAAATATAAAGACGTCCATTGACTTCGGGTTTTTTCAATCCTAACATTTTTTACCACTGGCAAATGAAGTTAAACTTCAAATTTTTTCATAATGAAAATGGAAATATTGGTGGGTTAAGATGACGACATTTTCAAATAATTTCAAGACTAAACTGTAAGGATACGTCCTTATACTACAAATGACGCATGCGGGTGGCGCAGCAGAGATTGCAACCCAGTAAAGAATTCTGGGATATCATCCAGGTAGTCGCTCTGGTCATATGCGATCCCAAACAACTAGTTCTGTTGAACTGTATGTACTTGGACTACCTGAAAACCATGCTGCCTTGTATCGATCGTCATTTGTTACAGGTGTATCACTTGCTTCATGGTTTCCATCACCAAGTCCGGGATATGCAGATAGAGACATCTCCCACAGGTATACCACCTTGACATGAAGTCAAGTTTCTGTCATGACCTGTTTGCCTGTCATCTGTCAATAGTCTCCTCTGTACTCTGAAATTTGACTCATGTAGGATCTTGATTTTGTTGGCACTTGTGTTGTGGTTGGTTCAAAATATTTTTTAGAGCTGAGAAATGATAAGGGTTCATTGATGTTATTCTAGCAGATGTTTTCACAGCATCGAACAGTGGTATGGATTCATATCATTTCAGACTAAGAATATACTTGCTTTTAATCTACATTTATATGAATGTTTGGAACCCATTTCTGGTGTCCTCCGCCGTGATATTGCTGGAATATTGCTAAAAGCAGAGTCACTCACATATATATGAAGGCTCTGTAGCTAAAAGTGCTGTAATGCTTTTCAAATCGTTTTTAAAACTCTTAGGATTATGCTGGGGATCTAGTCCTGAGGTGAGAGTCTGTGTTAATGAGGACTAGCTGTTTACAAGTGATCTAGCAGATTGTCTGTTCCCGTACTATAGATTGCCTCAGGATATTTACAAGGTGCCATGACAGAGCAGGATATTGCAAGTATCAGCTGAAACTAACAACCCTCTCCCGATACTTGCAGTGCAAAGACAGACTGGATTCACCTTGCTATTACATACACAAAAAATCATATTTTCATTAAATTACTGATGCCGAAAATGTGATTTTAGTGTGATCAGTGGCCATGGAAACTGATGACCTCCAGATTACTTCCCCAGTCCAGAGGTACAGGTCCGGGTACTGGTAATGCAGATCTTGTTTATATTTCCATCAGGTGATCATGAAGGGGTTGCCTTCATCGACTTCTTCACACAACAACATGCTGTTAGATGGATGGAGAAAACCCAGGTGAGTAATTAGGGCAGGTGAAATGTATGGGCAGTGAGGACACAGTTTGGTTGTGGAGGGTTTGAACATGTATGGCTACTGGTGACAGGTGCGTGCGTGTGTGTGTGCGAGCGTGCGTGCGTGCATGCGTGCGTGTGTGGAAAATCCAGGTGAGTAATTAGGGCAGGTAAAATGTATGGGGAAAATCCAGGTGAGTAATTAGGGCAGGTTAAATGTATGGGCAACAAGGACAGGGTTTGGATGTGGAGTGTTTGAACATGTATGGCTACTGGTGACAGGTGCGTGTGTCTGTGTGGAAAATCCAGGTGTGCTAGAAAGAAAAATCCAGGTGAGCTTAAGAGATCCAAGGTTATGGCTGGGGCTGACAGGTGCGTGTGTCTGTGTCTGTGTGGAAAATCTGCTGAACATGTAAATGAACCACCTGTCGCCTGTAGTCTTAACGATGACGTCACCTGACTACTGATCAGGGAGTCAAATGACGTCATTCATTATGAAAGAGTTTATATTCAGTTCTTAGTCTGGGACATTAAGTACCTTTTTGCCCAGTTTTTCATATAAAAAAAAAATGTCCTACTCTTGATGAGGTCTCCAGTTGTAAAAAGTAAAACCTCAAAAGAGGTTATTATGAAAGGACAACTACCATCCTAATTTATGCTCGATAACCATGAGTTTGTACTACGGTTGTATGGCCCATGTTGTCATAGTTGCTGAGGTTGTTGCATCTTTTTAACAGGGATCAGTCGAGATCTTGAAATGCGAGGTGAAGGCCGATTACAGCTCACTCGTCCTCCAGTCAGAGCAAGCTGTAAGTTGATGTGTGGAACTGCCAGGAAGCATCTCATGTGGTAGTAGTTTGACTGGTTTATGACCCTGTCTGAACCTTGTCTGAACCCTCTCTGCTCTGAACTCTAAAGTACCTTGTTTGTGCATCCTTATGAGAAATACTGATAAGATTCATAGGCGGATCCAGAAGGGGGGTGCAAAGAAAGTTTATTAAATGACCATTGAAACTCTGGTGAAAATGAAGTGTGCACCCCCTTTCCCAAAAAGCTGTATCCGCCCCTGAGATTTTACTGAAATGCTTAAAGAGATTGTAAATAACCTAAACTTCTATTCTCCTTGTAGTGTTTGATTGTATGATAAACAACTCACTCTGGAATAGTTAGACGTAAGATCATGTAAGTTTGACACATTACATAACTAGGTGACCGGTCAGTAATGAGACTGAATATCAATAAATGTGTGAAGAAGCATGGGAGAACTTGTCCAAAACACAACTGGTGCATTTTAGAATTTATCTCACGTTGTGCTTTTTCTCTTTTTGTTCTGATTACGGAGAAGAAACGACCTAAAACACTTTCCAGCCCCTTTTAACACACCACAGCTCCAATTATTAGTGTAGGTTGTCACCAGAAGTCCCAGCAAAGCTTGATCTCTCTGTGTGTGGTTTACCAGGTGTCAGACAACTAAAGTCATTTTCTTTCTTGTGTCCCAGAGATTCTCTGGTCCCTTGCCCAAGACTGCAGGCTCCTACTCCCCAATCTCTCTTGCTTCCAAGAAGGAGTCAGACAAGCTCTGCTTATGTTCACATGATGGTCATCAATACTTGCTACCTAGAGATAATTAAAACGTAAACATTCCCTCTGGATTATGGTAGCCTTATTCCTGTGGATACACAGATACATACAGAAAATCAAATGAGATTTTAACACTAAGTCATAGCTATTCCTAGTGGTATACCTAATCTACCCCTGAGTTATCTCCCCTGATCCTGACGTCATTGTATTGTTCTCCTAGAACCCTTCATAATTTTTCTGTATGGTCCACACAGAGAATCGAGTGAAATTTACATTTCAATCAAGTCTCCAATTCTTCACTAAATAGGTCAGTTACAATCGCATTCCATCTAAATATTCAATTGCATTTTACTTTCATTTATATTAACTATATTTTCACATATTTAGGACTTTGAAGTTTTCCGCCCTTTTTGATTGACAAGAATGGCGCAGAGCAAATGCCTCCAATGTCAGAAATTCATGGCAGATGTTGATCCCCACTCTCTTTGTGCTTCCTGTTATAAAGGCTTACCTTGCTCAATTTCGGATCGGTGCTTATTGTGTCAGGAAATGTCTGAGGAAGATTGGATGTTGATGGAGATATTGCTGCACTTGTGGATGGTCTCCATCGCTCTTCTATGTACGATCATCAGAACAGGGGGCAACATGATTAGCCTCAATCTCCATGATGCTTAACTACGTGTACCAATCTACCTATCAGAAGTACATTTGTTTTTCTTCAAGGGAGAATGATGGGAGGTCCAACTTTCTTTATTTCCATGGCCACTTGGCTATTTACCACGCCTCCTATACCCAGTTCACCATCACAGGGGAATCGTATTCGAGGCATACACAAGTAATTGCATTCAGGTCCATGCAGCTGCTCAAGTTCTTCAGAATCTATGTTTCACCACCCGCTTGCTACATCAACTGGGTTGGATAGTCATCTTCTAGGAATTGGAACTTGTTCCGAACCAAGAGCTTCAATTCAATGGGGCAGTGTTCAGGGAAAGATGTTTGTCCTTGCAGACAGTCAATTGAAGATATAGTATCACGTGCCTTTGGCACTCAGACAATTGAGGACCCTGCAACAATGGCGTGAGGTCTTCTGACGTCACAACAGACACTCAGTGGACAATTGCAGTTATGACCTCTTCATCATGTGTTCCTGTGGGTCAGTGGTTGTTCAACATCTATTATCAGTTGATTACAAACCACTCGAGGGATAACGCTACAGGCGCATCACCCTGAAGACAGTCTTCCTTACAGACTTGTCAGCAGTGGGTGTCAAGGGTTACCCAGGGTTACACAGGGAACCGATACAACGTTTTGTAGATTACAGATTAAACAATGTTAATCCTGGATTGACTTTGTCTTTATTTTGAACCTTTCACAATGATACAAAGAAATCACCATTCTCAGGATTTGTGTCAAGTACTGCTAGGGTTTTTTCTGAACTGACGTTGTTGTCTAGACTAGGGTAATCTATGGTATTCCATCCACTGGATAAGTGCATAATGTGAGGTAATGTGAGTTTAAAAACTTTAAAATATTTACTATTAAGTGTATGTTTGTCATTCATGTGATGTATTCCTGCCAGACCTACCCAGCTATACAGATTATAAGAAAGGTTTCCGGTGTAGCAGGCCATTTCTTCCCCAGTCTAAACTTTCCCGGGAGAATCTGGCCTAGGCCAAACTTTCCCCGGGGAGGTTTTGTACTAGGATATTCTTACCCAAGGGAAAGTTTGGGCTAGGCTAAAGTTTCCACCCCTAGGCCAAACTTTCCCCCCTGTTTAAACTAGGATATTTTGTTCTGTGTTCTATGAAAAGTGGGGAGAGTCTGGCCTAGCTAGGCCACTTCTTCCCCACCCTTGTTCTCATATCAAAAGGGGTGATTCTGGCCTAGCTAGTCTACTTCTTCCCCACCCTTGCTCTTATATCAAAAGGGGGAGTAGTTTTGACTTATATTTTGGTACACATTTTTGCTAAATAGTCCATTTTTGACTATGACTTTGGTGTAATGATTTGAATGCATACATGTTTGAACGGCATACAGTCAAATCCCGATGAGTCGAATGCCGGTGTCTCGAATATTATGCATAACTCGAAGTCCCTGTCGGTCCCGACCATTCCCTGTTATAGTTGTCATCATTTGAATACCGTTATCATGAATTCGTCTCATAAATACACACGATGACTCGAGAAGGAAATTTGGTCCCATGAGATTCAAACAACAGCAATCTTGTATACATAAGCCGAAGTCAGTCAATGGGAAGTTGATTGGTGTAGCAAACTGATCCAATTAACAAACCAGCGCGGCTCACACCTTTCCGCCATTGACGGGTGAGTTCAAAAGGCAGATTAGTGATTTTACGGCAATCACTGTCTGTGCTAATCAGACTGGAACTGATAAGGTGCCCCTATTAGTGATAGGGAAATCGTTAGGTAAACAAATGCTTGGGTCGAGGAATTAGGACTGGATCATCTTTTTTCTACCCTCATAGACATACCTATGTCTCGAATACATCGATAAGACGAATTTATTAATTGGTCCCCAGCAATCGACTCATCGGGATTTGACTGTATATCTCTAAATCCATCCTGCTCCTGCCACCATTCCTATGAAGACACATTAGTTCTTCATCTGTCCACCATAAGATGTAAACATTCAATCGCACATGTGATGGGTAAATAAGATTTAATATACACAGGTTGCTTGCTCTCTTATGCTGTTTATTATCTAATATTTGTTATATTTATATATAATGTAATGGAACATTATTCACATAAGCTTGTTTACTATTCCATATTCACTTTTGGTGAATGAAATATGATTCAGATATCCATGGGCCAAGTATACCCCTTATCAAACCTTGTCTTTTGAATTTAGAATAAGGTACTTTGTTGAATGATAGATGATACAACATTTGATATAGATATTGTGTTGGGTTGTTGTTGTGTTGCTGTTTACGTCTGCTTCCAACTGTTAAGTTGATGTTGCCGACGTGGATGCCATATTTAAAGCCATGAGTGAGGGAATAAAATTTTGAATGGATATGGACATCCAAGTAAAAACTGGGTATTTAGTTAAAGTTTCGAATATAGTAATGCTTTTGACATAAGCCAATTTTGAGTAAATGGGGATAAGTAAATTATTGAAATATAAGGTGACGTGAAATTGGGTTTGACGTCACGCTTGAGAATATTTCGCTCATATGATGACGTGCATGCGTGTGTATGTGTATGTGCAGCTGCTTGTACTAGCCCAGACTGAAGCTGGTTTTATAGTGTTAGCCCACTGAGAAACCATGCCGCAGTGAAGCAAGAATACCCCACTCAGACACATTATACTCTGGACCAACAAGTACCGTATTTTAATGTCTTTTGGTATAACGCGATTGGAGATCGAACCATATTTTAATGTCTTTTGGTATGACCTTCCGGCTCTCCGCGCGGGATGCTCTAACCTCTACACCACGGAGGCGGTCATTGAAATATAAAAATAAGTAAATGATAATATACAACAATAGTAATGATGTAATATCTTTGCTTTTATGCTTGCTTTTCGTTTTAATCTCACCTTATAGAAGGGTATTGAAACAATTGTGAACCATGAACATGTTATATATGAAGATGAAGATGACCTGTATATTGTTAATGGAACTTGAGATCAACATGAATATCTTATCAATGTGGTCAGGTGAATAGCTATGTCTTGTTTTCGTTTCTGACTTTTTCAAGACAAACATGAACATGAAAACAAGGTTGGGGAAGAAGTAGCCTAGCTAGGCCAGAATCTCCCCCTTTTGATATAAGAACATGGATGGGAAACAAGTAGCCTTTAAAGTTGATTCAAGGGTGGGGGAAGATTAAGCCTGGGTGTGTGTGTGTGTGTGTGTGTGTGTGTGTGTGTGTGTGTGTGTGTGTGTGTGTGTGTGTGTGTGTGTGTTTGGGCCTGTTACACCGGCACCAAGACAGGAGAATGACTAGCCCAAGATAGGAGAAGGATTAATATATTTAAATATAACATTAAATGTACAATTTATAGTTACAATTTTCAATTTTAGGTGCATACCTGGCAGAAATGGGCAACTACTGTCCCTACAGACACCCTGGTGTTTTGGAACGTCCCACCTTTTGTTGGAGGGAATGCAGTAAGTTTTAGTTTGTGACTCACTTGCTTCATGGTCAAGGGATCTTATGTCACGTCCTGTTTCAAGGGCATCTGTCATACAGAAAGATGAAACCTTACCAGTTTTACCAATGATAACTCCCCAATTTGTTCAATAGGTTCAGTCTGATTTTCAATATTATCACTGGGAGGTGGGGTAGCCTAGTGGCTAAAGTATTCACTCGTCATGCGAAGACCCGGGTTCGATTCCCCACATGGGTACAATGTGTGAAGCCCATTTCTGGTGTCCCTGCCATGATATTGCTGCAATGTTGCTAAAAGCAGCCTAAAACTAAACTCACCCACTCACTCAATATTATCACCACAGCGGCCTCTTTGAAAAAGACTATCCGGTCATAACAAAGCCATGTTGTAATGAAATTTTGAACCGGTTACATAAACAAGCTGATCAAGCAGTTGTGACAGTTGCCAAAGGTGTGAGATGACTTCTTTGTTGTGGTAAATTTGTTTAAAATTTTGATAATTACAAGCAGTGTACTCTATGTTACACCGCTGAAGTATGTCTCTGATGTAAAACCCTTGAAGCATGTCTCTGATATAACACCCTTGAAGCATGTCTCTGATATAACACCCTTGAAGCATGTCTCTGATGTAACACCCTTGAAGCATGTCTCTGATGTAAAACCCTTGAAGCATGTCTCTGATGTAAAACCCTTGAAGCATGTCTCTGATGTAACACCCTTGATGCATGTCTCTGATGTAAAACCCTTGAAGCATGTCTCTGATGTAACACTCTTGAAGCATGTCTCTGATATAACACACTTGAAGCATGTCTGATGTAAAACCCTTGAAGCATGTCTCTGATGTAAAACCCTTGAAGCATGTCTCTGATGTAAAACCCTTGAAGCATGTCTCTGATGTAAAACCCTTGAAGCATGTCTCTGATGTAAAACCCTTGAAGCATGTCTCTGATGTAAAACCCTTGAAGCATGTCTCTGATGTAAAACCCTTGAAGCATGTCTCTGATGTAACACCCTTGAAGTATGTCTCTGATGTAAAACCCTTGAAGCATGTCTCAGATGTAAAACCCTTGAAGCATGTCTCTGATGTAACACCCTTGAAGTATGTCTCTGATGTAACACCCTTGAAGTATGTCTCTGATATAACACCCTTGAAGTGTGGCTCCAGTCCAATATTACATCATTGAAGAACTAGAACTGCTCAGCATTAAAGACAGGAAACTTTGTCATACATTATTTATTTGTTTCTTTTCAGATACGTTTTCAGATTACAGAGTCTGGCTTTAAACCAATTAAAGTAATTGTTATGAAGAATAATAAGCCTGGTGGGTCTGGTAAGTTAAATGAGAGGGTGATGTATGTATGATATATGTATTTCATTGCTCACTTAGCAATCGCTGCTATCACAGACTTCACTGTACATGTAAATAAATGTCATTCATAGCAGTAACAATAAACATTATGAGCAATGTACACTTAAATCAAGTTTATTAACATACATCAATCTCACTACAATTTTGCCAATTCTCACTACCTACAAAGTTCTTCGCACATCCCATCATGGAATTGGGAATGTAAACTGGACAAATGGGTGGATGCATGAGTGAGCTTTTAGCAATATGAATATCATTGCACAGGAACTGATCATCACCTGAGGTACCTACAGTCCGTTTGAGTCAGAAACGGTTCCATTTCTCAGGTTTCACCCCTCCGCGACAGATAACAACTTTTGCGTTTTCAATGATGATAGTTTCTTAAACAACTTTTTTGGTGGAGTCCGGAAAATTTTCAAATATTAGAAAGCTGTTGGATATTAGTAAATGATAAACATGTGTACTATTTATATTTATGTGGCAATTTTGTACAATGATAAAATTTGCAATTCATCGGTCCGTTTCTGACTCAAACGGACTGTACATGGGGAGTTGAACTCAGACCTTTGGTGTGCCGACTGAACAGTAGAACCACTAGACTAATCCACTGCCCTGACAATAGGCTTTCACTGAGTTGGTGGTTCAATGCTGACAATGTTTAGTAAGGTTTCCTATTATTTCAGGTACAAGTAAAGGATATGGCTTTATTGAATTTGGAAGTGTTGCTGAGGCAGTTGAATTAATGGATTTTACAAAGGTAACTTCTGTGGCATCATGAACAAAGACCAGTGTTTTTGTATGAGCCATTCTCTACTGCAACCTAGGCAGTGTTTTGGTGTAGAATCTACCACTATCTTCGAGTCATGTTGTTGTTTTATTAGGGTGTTAGAATGTACAACAAAATGTAACCTCAATTGTTTTAAAGAAGTTTTAAATAAATTGTCCATCTTCATTTTAAAGGTGTGTGATAATATGTAGATGTTCTGATCATTGTCTGACTTGGTTGAGTAATCCCAATTGCGTAGATCAATCCTCACACTGTTGATCTCTGGATTGTCAGGTCCAGAATCAATTATTTACACACGTCCACCATATAGCCTGAATATTGCTGATTGCGTATTTAAACAACAAGCAAACAAATCCTATTATTGTCAAAAGCTGGATATATTATTGAGTAATGTTCATTGGTTAAGGCATTTTTGTCATATTTCAATTAATGGCTTATGACTTTTTGATACATTTAACTGCATTGCTTACACAAAAAACATTTGCTGGGTATTGAATTATGCTGGATATGTAAAGTGATCTCTTACAGACATTTTGATGGGTGTTTGATGCACTAATGAACCGACGTATTTACAGCCCTCTCTCTCTCTCTGTCCAGGGTGTGCTTGACATGATAGAAGTGGCAATACTTGTCACCTACAGCTCTGGTGGTAAAAAGGACGACAAATACACGGCAGCTGAACACAGAACCGAGACTGACAACAAGGTACTGTGGGATACAGGAGTGCTGTATGTGAGATGTTGTTGGAGATGCAGACAGAGATGCTGTTTGCGTGTGTTAGGGACTGTCTGTGTGTTGGATTTGGGATGTCTGCGTTGTATGTGGTTGTTACATGTGCCCTGCGTTGGTGATATTGTCTTTGTGTGAGATGTTCCCTATGTTTGTGATGTTGTATGTGTGGAGATGTTGACAGTGATTATGATGCATGTGTGTGAGATTCTCTGTGGGAGATGTTTGCTGTGTGTGAGATGTTGTCTGTGTGAGAGATGTTGGTGGTGTATGTGGTGTTGTCTGTGTGGAGATGTTGACAGTGATTATGATGCATGTGTGAGAGATGTCACTGTGACATTCTCTGTGTGTTAGATTCTATGTGTGTGAGATTCTCTGTGTTAGATTCTTTGTGTGTGAGATGTCTGTGTGAGATTCTATGTGTGTGAGATGTCAGTGTGTTAGATTCTATGTGTGAGATGTCAGTGTGACATTCTCTGTGTGTTAGATTCTATGTGTGTGAGATGTCTGTGTGTTAGATTCTATGTGTGAGATGTCTGTGTGTTAGATTCTATGTGTGAGATGTCTGTGTGTTAGATTCTATGTGTGTGAGATGTCTGTGTGTTAGATTCTATGTGTGTGGGATGTCAGTGTGACATTCTTTGTGTGTGAGATGTCAGTGTGTTAGATTCTATGTGTGTGAGATGTCAGTGTGGGTCTATGTCTGTGATGATCAGTGTGTTTAGATTCTATGTGTGTGAGATTAGATCTGTGTGTGTTAGATTCTCTGTGTGTTAATTCTCTGTGTTGACATTCTATGTGTGTGTCAGTGTTAGATGTTTGTGTGTTAGATGTCAGTGTGACATTCTGTGTTGGGATGTCATGTGTTAGATTCTGTGTGTGTGTGAGAGAGATGTCAGTGTTAGATTCTATGTGTGTGAGATGTCAGATGTCTCTGTGTGTTATTATGTGAGATTCTGTGTAGATGTCAGTGTGACATTCTCTGTTAGATTCTATGTGTGAGATGTCAGGGTGACATTCTGTGTGAGATGCTGTGTGTGTGAGATGTCAGTGTGACATTCTCTGTGTTAGATTCTATGTGTGAGATGTCAGTGTGACATTCTCTGTAGTTAGATTGTATGTGTGAGATTCTGTGTGAGAGATGTCAGTGTGACATTCTCTGTGTTAGATTCTGTGTGTGAGATGTCAGTGTGACATTCTCTGTGTGTTAGATTGTATGTGTGAGATTCTTTGTTAGATTCTTTGTGTGAGATGTCAGTGTGACATTCTCTGTGTTAGATTCTGTGTGTGAGATGTCAGTGTGACATTCTGTGTGTGAGATGTCAGTGTGACATTCTCTGTTAGATTCTGTGTGTGTGATGTCAGTGTGACATTCTGTGTTAGATTCTGGGTGTGAGTTGTCAGTGTGACATTCTGTGTTAGATTCTGTGTGTGTGAGATGTCAGTGTGACATTCTGTGTTAGATTCTGTGTGTGTGAGATGTCAGTGTGACATTCTGTGTTAGATTCTGTGTGTGTGAGATGTCAGTGTTAGATTCTGTGTGTGATGTCAGTGTGACATTCTGTGTTAGATTCCGTGTGTGTGAGATGTCAGTGTGACATTCTGTGTTAGATTCTGTGTGTGTGAGATGTCAGTGTGACATTCTGTGTGAGATGTCAGTGTGACATTCTGTGTGAGATGTCAGTGTGACATTCTCTGTGTGTTAGATTGTATGTGTGAGATTCTGTGTGTGAGATATCAGTGTGACATTCTCTGTGTTAGATTCTGTGTGTGAGATGTCAGTGTGACATTCTGTGTGTGAGATGTCAGTGTGACATTCTGTGTTAGATTCTGTGTGTGAGATGTCAGTGTGACATTCTGTGTTAGATTCTGGGTGTGAGATGTCAGTGTGACATTCTGTGTTAGATTCTGTGTGTGTGAGATGTCAGTGTGACATTCTGTGTTAGATTCTGTGTGTGTGAGATGTCAGTGTGACATTCTGTGTTAGATTCTGTGTGTGTGAGATGTCAGTGTGACATTCTGTGTTAGATTCTGTGTGTGTGAGATGTCAGTGTGACATTCTGTGTTAGATTCTGTGTGTGTGAGATGTCAGTGTGACATTCTCTGTGTTAGATTCTATGTGTGAGATGTCAGTGTGACATTCTCTGTTAGATTCTATGTGTGTTAGATGTCAGTGTGTGTGATGTCTGTGTGTTATATGCTGTCTGTGTGTCACATGTCAGTGTGAGTTTTATTTTCACGCATAAAAGCTCATAATTCATCTCACAGGACATTTTGTGATTAATTTCATGAAGATAAACTATTCAAAGTATTTGTATTTCAGGAGCAGGTGCAAGGAGCAATGGATGATCAAAAGGAAGGCATTGTGTATGTTTCCAATGTAAGTAGACATAGATTTGTAGTTACTGTTTAAGTCAAGTTTCTTAAACATTTGTACATACAGGTGGGCTCTCTCTTTCTCTACCTTACTCAGTAAGTTCAGTGTGGAACAAAAGCATATATTAATTTACTCTTTTTACAAGAAAACATAGGCAAGGAATATCTTGTACAGTTACTCATGATTTGGAATCTATGTGTAAAGGATACAAAGCAACTCCTGTGTCTTTAATTGATTTTGCGGAGAACCTTAAGAATTCAGCACCACAACTTCTCATGTGAACAATCTCAGCAGTAGTTTGTTACATGTCACTGAGGTAAGCAGCCAGTTTTGTGAGAACCCGTCAGACACGAACATGCCACCATTTGCAGGCTGAGTCGGCTTTTGAAACATTACTGACCAAATGTAGTGTATGGAAGTGACATGAGTACTGCAAGTTACGAGGCTGTTTCATCATTACACAGTTTCATTATGTACTTTCAACATTTTTGTGTGTAAAAATATTAAAAATGCAACAGTAATTAAAAGCAATACACAGCAAAATCTTTGGCTCCTATGGATTAAGATACATGGGAAGTGGGTACAACCCCTTCTCATTGTTTTCATTACAAAACCGGAGCCTAAACCAATAAGTTATGTATTGCAGAAGATGTCCCACTGTAGATGGAAGGTACATGGCCTACTGGTGTGTGTAGCTATAATTAATAAACTCAATAAACTCCACTCATGTGCCCTACAATGCAAATTACTGAACAAAGGAAACACTTTGTATATTAGTTCCCATTTATAATCCATTTAGTCCCATAGTTTAAGCTGAAAGCAAAATATGTAATGTTTAAATATAAGTGCTCTTGTAAACTGGCCCCTTGGTATAAAATGCAAGCCTCTGCAGTCTATGTTTAGCAAATAAAGTATTGAAAAGTGCCAACATCGCTGGGCTTATGCAACAGAGATGACAGGTGACTGAGAGGAGCTAAGGCACTCTTGATGACCCAGCAAGTCTTGCCATCACAGGGCAATTTTTTGGCAACACAGTTTCACAAATTAAATCATATGGTATTGTGAAGGTTATGGAGCCTTTCTAAACATGGGTTGATTTTGCATTTACCCGTATTTGAAGATCTGGCCCTGAATTGATCTTCATTAACCCATGCTTACCTAAAGAGGTAACTAATCAGATGGTCAGACTCTCTGACCTTGATTATCATAACACAGTTGTATTGATCAGTGCTTGTGTTGTCAATCACAACATTGTCTAATCTTCACTCAACTATTTACAGACCACCATCATTTAGCTGGAATATTGTTGAGTATATTTCTGCGTATGGTGTTTGACAAAATGACAATGTAACATGATACTGCTTTAGTTAGACTTCACAACTGTGTACCCACTCCTCCTGTTCCCAGCTGGCACCGGATGTAACCCAACAGAAGATCATGGAAGTATTTCATCTGGCTGGTGAGGTACGGAAGGTTAAGAAGGATGTGACAACTGCAACTGTCAGGTTCAAGAAACATCAAGATGCTGTACAAGCCATTTGTATCCTTTAGGTCTGGTAAAGTTTACATCCATATCCAGAAGGGTGGAATGTGTGTTGAGCAATGATTACTCTAAATGACTTGATGCAAATAACAAAGCATCATGCTTAAACTGCTCCAAGCAGGGTACACTGACATACAGTGGAAGCTGTCAAAACCGGTGTAGTAGGCCATTTCTTCCCGGTCTAAACTTTCCATGGGAAGAATCTGGCCTAGGCCAAACTTTCCCCGTGGAGGTTTTGCCCTAGGATATTCTTTCCCTGGGGAAAGTCTGGGCTAGGCTAAAGTTTCCCGCCCTAGGCCAAACTTTTCCCCCTGTTTAAACTAGGATATTTTGTTCTGTTTTCTATGAAAAGTGAGGTGATTCTGGCCTAGCTAGGCTACTTCTTCCCCACCCTTGTTCTTATATCAAAAGGGGAAGATTCTGGCCTAGCTAGGTCACTTGTTCCCCACCCTTGCGTTTATATCAAAAGGGGGAGATTCTGGCCTAGCTAGGCTACTTCTTCCCCATCCTTGCTCTTATATACCGACAGTAGATTTGACTTATATTTTGGTACACATTTTTACCAAATAGTCCATTTTTGCCTCTGTCTTGGGTGTAGTGATTTGAATGCATACATGTTTGAAAGGCATATATCTCTAAATCCATCCTGCTCATGCCGCCAGTCCTATGAAGACACATTGCATTAGTTCTTCATCTGTCCAAATCATGTCACCATATGATGTAAACATTCAATCGCACATTTGATGGGTAAATAAGATTTAATATACACAGGTTGCTTGCTCTTTTATCATGCTGTTTATTATGTAATATTTGTTATATTTACATTATTCACATAAGCTTGTTTACTATTCCATAATCACTTTGGGTGAATGAAATATGATTCAGATATCCAAGGGCCAAGTATACCCCTTATCAAACCTTGTCTTTTGAATTTAGAATAAGGTACTTTGTTGAATGATAGATGATACAACATTTGATATAGATATTGTGTTGGGTTGTTGTTGTGTTGATGTTTACGTCTGCTTCCAACTGTTAAGTTGATGTTGCCGACGTGGATGCCATATTTAAAGCCATGAGTGAGGGAATAAAATTTTGAATGGATATGGACATCCAAGTAAAAACTGGGTATTTAGTTAAATTTTCGAATGTAGTAATTTTTTTTATATATTTTTTTATTTTTTTAAAAGTATTTTTATTTCCCATCAGTATGTTGTACATCGCATTTCAGAATCAAATGCAATTTTTACATGTTATAGAATACAGCTTTTGCGTTACACACCACTTTCAAGCGATATACATATCACATTTTACAGTATTGATTTCTGCTATTTTGTAAACACAGTAGTATGTATAGTAATAAATCTGCGTAGTTGCAGTGAACATGAATCATATTCATTGCTTAGCTGATACTTAATAGGGACACTGTTCAATATACAGATGTATTAATGTAGTAATGATTTGGAGATAAGCCACTCCGCTTACTGACCTCTGCTCTCTGAGCAATTACGTCAGTGAAGTGTTGATTTCCGATTACCTACATGGTTTTCGAAGTGTTCTGCTCCTGAGTCCCTTGGTAAGGTAGGAGGATTGGTACTGAACGTTAAACTAGTTGAGCAACCGAGCTATTCCCTCTTTCACCGCCTTCCAGCGTGTGTCTGTAGGGGGTAGTTTTGAAGCAGGGACTGGCCAGATTAAGGTCTTCGACTTTAATTCACTGGGATCACCTGATAAATCGCGGGCCGTCGGGGCCTACTTGCCAAACTGCGTCCTTTTGCTTGTCAAAAGTTGCAGCTGAAAACCACATTAATTCGGGAGCGCCCACTTCCTAGAGTTTTTGTGCTGTGTAAGCCAGGGGTTACAAGAAACCCATCTCAAGTTTGGAGTCTGCATATTGGGAGTTGGTGCTTTCTCCTGGCCTCCTTGGGGTTATGCGTCTTCCCGGTTGTACGTATTGACAGGGTAATCTGCGGACCTCCTACCAACCGTGGGATCGTGCATACGGTGAGATAGGATAAGTTTAAAAATTTGTAAATTTTATAATAAATTGTATATTTATGTACTTATCCTATCTCACGCGATGGATACCCACCTGACCTGACCCACATCACAGATTACTGGAAGCTCCAAGACGAGAATGACAGGCACAGGTAGTCACATGATCATCTGAGCGAGCTCCACGTTTACGGAGATGATTGACAGGTGCTGATGTCGGAGTGGGGGCAGAGGTCAGGGCGGGGCAGATGCCAGAAAGATTTGATTCAACTTAGCCTACAGCACGTTTCCACACATGGTTGTAGAATACGAAGAGAGGTGCATACCGTGAGATAGAATAAGTATATAAATATACAATTTATTATAAAATTTACAATTTGGAGTAATCGGGGATATGTAAATTATTGAAATATAAAAATAAGAAAAATATAATAAAACAATATTAATGGTATAATATCTTTGCTTTTATGCTTGCTTAAAAGCATAATAGCTATGTCTTGTTTTCATTTCTGACTTTTTCAAGACGGACATAAACATGAAAACAAGATTGGGGAAGATATAGCCTAGCTTGGCCAGAATCTCCCTCGTTTGATATAAGAACAAGGGTTTGAAACAAGTAGCGTTTAAAGTTGATTCAAGGGTGGGGAAAATTAAGCCTAGGGGGGAAAGTTTGGCCTAGGCTAAAGTTTCCCCGGGGAAGGTTTGGCCAGGGGGAAAGTTTGGCCTGTTAGACCAGCACTCATTGTGACTGAAGAAATTTTGTGGAATTGACATTTTAGACTACATCGCGCAGTCAATTATTCGCGCAATCAGTAATTGCCGGAACTGCCAGCTGTCTCTTCCCCCAAAACACCTGGTCCTCCAGATCCAAACGATTGCAAAGATGACACTAAAGCCAAAGTCGTAATCGCGCAAGTTCAAACAAGCCGGGTTGTTGTGAATGTGATGATTGATGTGTTAATTGACTATCAAGGAAATGAACTTCTACCATATATGAAGCTTGTTGTGATTTCATTTCGTGATATGCAGGAATAAATATAAATACAATCTGAATGAATAAATAAAATACCCTTATTTTACCCCATTCCATGTGCGTACAACTTACCACGTTCATGAAGGTCTGTATAACGTTAGTGTTGATTATATATATTTTACATTTATAGAGCAGAAACTGCAATTAAAATTACACAATGCTAGGTTATATTTCTTTCGGTTAAATAATAGTATTCTGTATTATATTTTACTGATAACTGCATCAGAATTTGTCCCGTTATATTATTGTGCATGTTTGAACTTGAATACTTGTATACGCGTACACAGCTGATTGCTATTTCCGGCTCAAATACACATGGTAATCTTAATCCCTGTAACTAATACAACGAATGAATGAAAGGTTTATTCGCTGTGTATAAATTTTCGCGATAAATTATTTTGGGCTAAAATAAAACCTGCACGATATATATAGAGAATCTCACCCAAGTGTCTTCTGATATCAATTATATCAACACGAGTTGATAAAGTTACAAATATCCGAGGCTTGCCGAGGATATTTTTACTTTATCAACGAGTGTTGATATATTTGATATCAGAAGACACGAGGGTGAGATTCTATTTATCATCCAAAATCACTCTTCATTAATTTTCAATGAAATATGTACATCTTTGAACTTTTTACTGCCATTAGACTTGCAGTGCAGCGATGTCATAGCATTGTCAGGGCATTGTACAAAATCTACTGTCAAAACGATATCTCCTAGGAGATATCGTTTGATCTCACACAAGCGATATCTCCTGTGGAACACAGTTTTGGATGATAAAATACGTTTGCAGTACTCCGGTTTTGACAGCGTGCTGGATTGTAGAGCTGACACCGTCACCTATGACTAGATCTGAACCAGTTTTGTCACTCACATATACAATGTACATTGTTGTATCACATGGTTCACTTAATTACCACACACATTGACAATAAAAGACAAAGATTTGAACTCATATTCACTTTTATTGACTTCATAGCAAAACATCATAAATCAACACAATTATGTCGTAAACGTTCCCTCTGGATTATGGTTGCCAGTTTCCCTTGGTACCACAGTGACATACAGAAATGAAAGAGAAAAAAGTTCTTTTAAAAAACCTAAGTCATAGTTTTCCTTAGTGGTATGACGTCACAGCTAGGGGATATAACTATGTCACTCTTTAGGCATACCACTAAAGATAACAATGACTTAGGTTTTTCTTAACAGAACTTTTTTCTCTTTCATTTCTGTATGTCACTGTGATACCACAGGAAACTGGCAACCATAATCCAGAGGTAAGTTTACTAACAATTACTAACAATACCTGTAATTGTTCCTATTTAATAAAAATCAGTCATTTTCGTTTGTTTATGCTCAATTGACGATTTGAGAATGATTTTCTAATTTGTGACACATACGGCCCACTCCTGGCCATGCGCCGGATTAGACAGCGCTGATTACTATATAAACACATATTTGGGTGGCTCATTTCATGCTGAGATTCGGAATTGACAGCTGCCGGATTGCTGAGCTTTTAAATGATGATAAATTTACTAGCCACAGACGGGACTGAGATTTTATGCCGGTGTTGACAACTTGCCAGATTGGACAACGGCCAGTTTTGACAGCTTCCAATGTATCATTATATGTGTTTATATCTTACCTTATTTCAATGTCATTTATGAAAAAAACTTATTCCTTGTGGTTATCTGATACTTGTGTAAGAAGTATGAAATATAAATGAAGGAATGGTGACTAAACACAAGAATGCTCCCATATTTATTGGGTTGGTATTTATGTAGTGATATGATGCCTGTCTTGGTAACTTTGAACAAACAACACAAGGTGAGCTTCCTTAAGTTATTCAGCCATGTTAAATGGAATGATAGTGCTGGAGAGCAAGATTGCCGTCAGTGAAGAACAACCCGAAGCTGTCAAAGCACCAGGTAAGTCACGAAGAACAACACTGAGTGTTTTCATCAGAAAAACTGTTAGCACATGTTTCAAAACAGGCCTTTTGAGTTGAAAAACAGCAGAGATTTTTCAGAAATCATTGAATTTAATGGGCTCAATTTGTAGCTGGTGTTGAAAATTACGTTATTTTTTTAAATCAAATTTCAGAGCTAACCTTGTTAAATGTTATACGATCTTCACAAGAACTAGTTGGAAGTACTTAGTTGCCAGTTGCTTAGGTCGTTACCCAGAGTGCCTTGATTTCAGCTTTGATGTTGTGTTTTGAATGTTTCTCTTAAGCCTTAATATATTATGTGTGGAAAGTCACACAACAGGTTTCTCTAAAGTTTGGTCAAATCCTACAGAAAAAGTTTGAATGTGTTGTGTCCATTATTACTATAAATGATCTTGACTTTCAAAGGATGGCTCACAGGATGTCCATTGCTTTGAAGAACGCTCAACAACCAAACAATTCTTCACAAAGGCCATCACCCAGTATGTTACCCATCACCTTACATTGTCAAGGGATTGTCTTCAAAGCCTACAGTGACGATTGAATACAATTTATCAAGGCCGTTTTCGGGACATGTCGGGGGAGATGTTCATCCCTCTCAAAGATCAAACATCTTGTACTGTTGGGGCTATCTCACGCCAGATATCTTTGACAATGGCAGAAACTTCTTAACCTTCCCTTGGGGCGGTAGGCCTAGTGGTGAAGGCATTCGCTAGTCACACTGAAAACCCGGGTTTGATTCCCCACATGGGTACAATGTGTAAAGCCCATTTCTAGTGTCCCCAACCATGATATTGCTGGGATATGACTAAAAGCTGTGTAAGACCCAACTCACTCACTCTTAGCCTTCTCACGTCTTCTCCAATCTGTCTTTCATCGTCCCTCCATTAGTACCTTTATTGGTCTTCACCAGTCTTTTTTACATTGTTTGTACAAACACAATATCTATACGTCAACACATCACTACACAGTTGAGGAGCACCTCTTCTCAGTCAGTGAGTGGCAGGGCTGATCAATCCCTGCATATCAACAATTTAGTGTTCAATGCAGCAGATGACATTGGACCGAGGATTATTGAGCCAACCTCATTATTCAATTGGACTACTCAGCAGTTGTGGTGCATCAACCTTATGGGTTCAACAGGGTCGCCTTCTGCATCTGGCAATCCAGTTATTTAGCAGATAGACTCTCTTCACATCAAAGAGCTAGATGCAAACAGGGAGCAACCAGGTTCAACACCCAGATTTGTATCGCAGGTCCTGTACATGTTAGCAGGGGTTTACAACACTGGCAATCGCTTTGAAAGACCTCCTTCTGCAGCTACAGAGATTGTTGATTGCTAAAGGATATTCATGAAGAATTGCTCATTTGATTGCTCTGGCGCATCTAACTTCTGCTGGCTCTTTTTGCGATGATAACCACAACTCGGATCATCGTAGAGTATCTTCAGCACCTGTGTTTTATAAAGAAATACAAGGGATCAGTGACGTCAACCTACCTCACCACCATTAACACTGTTGTGGCTGCAGCGACAACATTTCAACTGTGCCTGAACTCCAATGCTTGTTGTGCTCCTACAAGCTGGCTGATCAAACCAGGAAGCTTCGTCCACTAACCTGGAATGTCGATAGTCCTTAGGCTTCCAGAGATGTCCTACATCAATAACTGGAGCAGGAGTGTGTTGGGGTGAGCTGTTCAGAGAGGCTGAAGACTTTGTTCCAAGTCAAAAGCATGTGATCATCAAATAACAATATTATGATCAGCAGAAAGATGTACTTTGAAAAAGACTGCCCTTATCACATCAGGAATGAGTTCTGCTCTTGTACCCAAATGTCTGCATCTAGTTGAGGATGAAAAAGAAGTGAATTGTTACAGCTGACATACATGCACAGTTACATTACCTGCAGGGGATAGGATTTTGTTCACTGCTATTATGCAGTAGTGAAGAGGATGGAGATTTACATTTTAAACATATTTTATAGTGTGAAGTGGGTCCTGGATGGGAATTTATAGATGTCAACTCCTCGAGTGTGAACAAGTGGTGAGAATGTACGCCGATATGTACATCCACAAATATCTTCCCTCAGTGTGTATCAAGATGCCATTCAAAGATTCTATTTTATGACTGACAGCTCAAACAGCTGTTCTTGGATGTAACTGAGGTAATATTCTTGGAATTATGCTCAGTAATGTTTAACTTTTCTTTTCAGTTGTTCAGAAAACCAATATGGACATAAATCTGATACGGACGAAACAATGCCTATATGACCCTTCAGCCGAAAAGTACTACAAGAAAATGATGTTGGTAAGAAAACTACCATTGTATCTGTGAGCTGTCAGCTGGCCCATGTGAGCTCTGTACCTGTGAGCTGGCCCATTTGAGCTGTGTATCGATGAGCTCGCCAGTGTGAACTGAGTGTCTGTGAGCTGTGTGTATGTGAGCTGGCCAGTGTGAGCTGTGTGGCTGTGAGCTGTCTCTCTGAGCTGGCCAGTGTGAGCTGTGTGTATGTGAGCTGGCCAGTGTGAGCTGTGTACCTGTAAGCTGTGAGCTATGTCTCTCTGAGCTGGCCAGTGTGAGCTGTGTGTATGTGAGTTGTGTCTCTCTGAGCTGGCCAGTGTGAGCTGTGTACCTGTAAGCTGTGAGCTGTGTGTCTCTGAGCTGGCAAGTGTGAGCTGTGTGCATGTGAGCTGGGCAGTCAGTGTCAGCTGTGTGTCTGTGAGCTGGGCAGTGTGTGTGAGCTGTGTGTGTAAGCTGTGAGCTGGGTCTCTCACTGAGCTGTGTGCATATGAGCTGGGCAGTCAGTGTGAGCTGTGTGCATATGAGCTGGACAGTCAGTGTGAGCTGTGTGCATGTGAGCTGTGCAGTCAGTGTGAGCTGTGTGCACGTGAGCTGTGTGCACGTGAGCTGGGCAGTGTGAGCTAGTGTGTCTGTGAGCTGTGAGCTGTGTGCCTGTGAGCTGGCCAGTGTGATCTGTGTGTCTGTGAGCTGGGTAGTCTCTCTGTGAGCTGGCCAGTGTGAGCTGTGTGTGTGTGCGCTGCCAGTGTGCCTGTGAGCTGGCCAGTGTGTGTGATCTGTGAGCTGTGTGTGAGCTGGCCAGTGTGAGCTGTGTGTGTATGTGAGCTGTGTTTATGTGAGCTGGGCAGTGAGTGAGAGCTGTGCAGTGTGATCTGTGTGTCTGAGAGCTGGACAGTGTGATCTGTGTGTATGTGAGCTGGACAGTGTGTATGTGAGCTGGGCAGTGTTAGCTGTGTCTGTGAGCTGTAGCTGTGAGCTGTGTGAATGTGAGCTGGGCAGTCAGTGTGAGCTGTATGTTGATGAGCTGGGCAGTGTGAGCTGTGTGTATGTGAGCGGGGCTGTGTGAGCTGTGTGTTTGTCAGCTGGGCTGTGTGAGCTGTGTGTATGTGAGCTGGGCAGTGTGATCTGTGAGCTGGACAGTGTGATCTGTGAGCTGGACAGTGTGATCTGTGTGTCTGTGAGCTGGACAGTGTGATCTGTGAGCTGGACAGTGTGATCTATGTGTATGTGAGCTGGGCAGTGTGATCTGTGTGTATATGAGCTGGACAGTGTGATCTGTGTGTGTGTGTGTGTGTGTGTAGCTGTGCAGTGTGATCTGTGTGTGTGAGCTGTGTGATCTCTTATGTTAGTCTGTGAGCTGGCCAGTGTGATCTATGTGTGTGTGAGCTGGGCAGTGTGATCTGTGTGTGTGAGCTGTCTGTGAGCTGGACAGTGTGATCTGTGTGTATGTGAGCTGGACAGTGTGGGTGTGAGCTGGACAGTGTGATCTGTGAGCTGTTCAGTGTGTATGTGAGCTGGTCAGTGTTAGCTGTGTCTGTGAGCTGGGCAGTGTGAACTGTGTGCATGTGAGCTGGGCAGTCAGTGTGAGCTGTGTGTTGGTGAGCTGGGCAGTCACTGTGAGCTGTGTGTTGGTGAACTGGGCAGTGTGAGCTGTGTGTATGTGAGCTGGGCAGTGTGATTTGTGAGCTGGACAGTGTGATCTGAACTGATCTGTGTGTCTGTGAGCTGGACACTGTGATCTGTGAGCTGGGCAGTGTGATCTGTGTGTCTGATCTGGGCAGTGTGATCTGTCAGCTGGGCAGTGTGATCTGTGTGTATGTGAGCTGGGCAGTGTGATCTGTGTGTCTGATCTGGACAGTGTGATCTGTGAGCTGGGCAGTGTGATCTGTGAGCTGGGCAGTGTGATCTGTGTGTCTGATCTGGACAGTGTGATCTGTGAGCTTGGCAGTGTGATCTGTGAGCTGGGCAGTGTGATCTATGAGCTGGACAGTGTGATCTGTGAGCTGGGCAGTGTGATCTGTGAGCTGAGCAGTGTGATCTATGAGCTGGGCAGTGTGATCTGTGAGCTGGACAGTGTGATCTGTGAGCTGGGCAGTGTGATCTGTGTGTCTGATCTGGACAGTGATCTGTGAGCTGGACAGTGTGATCTGTGAGCTGGGCAGTGTGATCTATGAGCTGGGCAGTGTGATCTGTGTCTGTGAGCTGGCCAGTGTTAGCTGTATCTGTGAGCTGGGCAGTGTGAGCTGTGTGTATGTGTGAGCTGTCCAGTGTGAGCTGTGTGCATGTGAGCTGGCCACTGTGAACTGTGTGTCTATGAGTGTGAGCTGGCCCGTGTGAGGTGAGTGTCTGTAAGTTGTGAGCTGGCCAGTGTGAATGTGTCAAATATATAAACCTAATGTAAATGTGTCAAATATGTAAACCTCATGTACATATGTCAAATGATTAAACCACTTGTAAATATGTCAAATGAATATACCATATGTAAATGTATGAAATAAATGAGCCATTTATAAGGATGCCAAATAGATTTTTTTATTGTAAAGCATATGTGAATATGTCATTTAACTAAAGGTGGTCTGACTGTCTTCTATTCTGTGTATGTTGTAGAAGAAATGTCCTGTAGCTGGCTGTTCAATAAAGAAGCCTGTAGACTGGAAGAGCCTGGCTAGACACTGGGCAGAGATACATACTCCCACCAAGAAAAAGTTCACCTGCCCCATAAAGGACTGCAGTATTGGTTTAACCCACACTGAGACACACTTGCGTACACATCTACAGGCTGAGCATGATGTCAAGGGAGACAACTTGGACAAAAAAATGAAAGGAGCAAAATTTTATCTCATACAAAATGAAAAATACAGTGATCCAGGAAATGTTGTCCTGCCACAACTGACTCAGGTATATCAATCAGTCATGGCACAAACCACAAACATGTTATTGTTACAAATCCTCTACCTCTGTTACATCATTACCATAAATACTGTATTTGGGCAGCAATAATGCCAGCTAATAACTGGATTTAGTTGTCTTGTGTGACTACAAGACCTATGTACTAGAGAAAACACTGTTGAATAGGTGATGTTGACTACATCAGGCAAGCTCAAGAGCTGGATGCTGATTGGCAATAACGTTATCTTGACAAATAGTTGTAGTACTTGACACGCAAACCAAAATATATTTATGGCAGTGACAAAACTAGAGGTAGCAATCTTATGATTAATATTCTAATGATGACTATTGTTCCTGTGATCAAGTATTCAAATCCCGATCCGTTCAGATTCTGTTTTGTCAGGTGCTATTGGATTTCACCAATGTGGTAGAGATCTGAGACATTCGTAACTTTGGGCTTTCCTCTCACCATGCTGACATGACTGGAATATATCACAAAATACAGCTGGTGCAATGAGTCTGCAAAATACGCTGACATCAGGCATTTTTTTCAGTGATTTTCCATGTGATAACTGTCATTCTTCTCTTTATTGTAACTTTTGAACTGGACTCCATATAAGATCTTGATTATAATAAAAGATGCTTTTCTCAATTTAGGTCAAGGGACTACACATAAAAATACCCAAGACCCAATGCCAGGTGGAAGGCTGTTCTTACACGTACACGACGATGACGAGGATGCAGCAACACTGGGCCAAATACCATCGTGCAACAGTGAAGCTGTACAGCTGCAGTCTCTGTAAAGGCAGGATTTTGGGAAAGTCCCTTCTGCAGGAGCATCTGCACAAGACACACAATGTCGACTTTGATGACAGCAAAGCAGAGCTGGTGGAGTGGAAAAACCACAACTTCATCGACCCAGGGGACGTGATCCCCTTCTGGAGCCTGTACACCGAGGAAGATGGGTTGAATCATCGTGAGCTGGAGAAGGAGCTGGGGGAGGACTTTCCCCTTGTGGACATTCCACTAGATGAGTTGGAGAAGGATAACCCAAATTTGTATGAGTTGTATGAGTGGACAGAACAGTACATCCACAGACTCGAGGTTGCTCGAAAATATGCCCTGAGTGATCTTCAAGAACTTACATGCAAAGCTTTGGAAGAAGATTAAAATACATTGTCAAGAAAGAATTTTCTACTAAATCTCCATCACTTAAAGAAAGATGAGTAAGTGAATATCTGTCTGTCGTTTGAGACAGATCAGTGCAGATACAGTGCTGCACGAACAACTAGACATCTTTAATTACCAGGGTGTCGCTCTCCATTCTATTGAGGTATACTCAGGACTCATTCATCACCACAGCTACAGCAAGGAAGAGTTCAGTCAGCAGTGGTGGCCATTTTAGCTTCACCTCCTTCAGTGTGACTGGGACAGAAGCTATGGTGGCAAATGGGTCCAGGTTATTGGTGTGAACAGAATGGAGTACCCAGGATAATACAAGCAAGGATGATGCAAAGCTACATGAATAATCTACAAAGGTAGCTGCGTTTCAACTAACAAGATCTCAATGTACGTCATATCTGTGTGTGGCTCAAGATTGCCACTTCACACAGTTAATCGTATCCTAACTATCCTGTTTGTCACTGAAATGAGAAATAAAGAATCTTAACACAACCAACTTGTAATTCCTAATTTTAGGAAAAGTACAAGTGAGGTAATTGAAGCAACATGGTAACCTCCGAGGAGAGCACACAAGTACATTTGAAATATTTAAATACTAAAATTCAGAAATGATCATCTGGTTTCTGAGACGCTGGACATGTGAATTGATCTACTTTTGTTTAATTAAGAATGAAATATACAGGGCTGGAAACTATCCAACATGCAAAGCATTCTTACAAACAGGACCGGCCTGCCAGTAGAGCAGAAAATGGGTTGTTTGATTATCAGCGTGTGGTAACATCAGTTGATGGTTTTTATTATCACCCAGCCTAGTTATAAGGAAGGGAGTGAGTGGATTGGGTTTTACGCCGCTTTGGGCAGTATTCCAGCAACACAGCAGGGGACACCAGAATGGGCTTCACACATTGTACACATGTGGGGAATCGAACCTGTGCCTTCACCGTTACAACTTTAACCACTATATATAGGCAGCCCATTCGCCCCTGCCCAAAGGGAATGAAGCAAGCACTGCGAGACTGGAGTCAGAACGCTGAGTCTGAGTAGTGTTGCCATGTTGAACTGTGGCATGGTTCTCTGTGGGCTAGCACTGTAAGACTGGAGTCAGTACGCTGTGTCTGAGTAGTGTTGCCATGTTGAACTGTAGTGGTTCTCTGTGGGCTAGCACTGTAAGACTGGAGTCAGTACGCTGTGTCTGAGTAGTGTTGCCATGTTGAACTGTGGCATGGTTCTCTGTGGGCTAGCACTGTAAGACTGGAGTCAGTACACTGTGTCTGAGTAGTGTTGCCATGTTGAACTGTGGCATGGTTCTCTGTGGGCTAGCACTGTAAGACTGGAGTCAGTACACTGTGTCTGAGTAGTGTTGCCATGTTGAACTGTGGCATGGTTCTCTGTGGGCTAGCACTGTAAGACTGGAGTCAGTACGCTGTGTCTGAGTAGTGTTGCCATATTGAACTGTGGCATGGTTCTCTGTGGGCTAGCACTGTAAGACTGGAGTCAGTACGCTGTGTCTGAGTAGTGTTGCCATGTTGAACTGTGGCATGGTTCTCTGTGGGCTAGCACTGTAAGACTGGAGTCAGTACGCTGTGTCTGAGTAGTGTTGCCATGTTGAACTGTGGCATGGTTCTCTGTGGGCTAGCACTGTAAGACTGGCTTAAGTCAGGACCAATACAAGAAGCCACACAGAACTACACAGTGCAATGTAAATCAGGAATGCAATGTTAAAGCATCTGCCCGTCACTGTGAAAACTGTAAACTCACTCACTCACTGTTCTGAGGAGCTAAAGAGAAATGGTCTATCATTCAGCATGCATCACTGTTTCACCTCTTGTAAACAACAGATAGAGGTGTAGTTCAGAGAATGGAACAAGACAACATTAGAATCTTGCCCAAGTATCAAGTGAGATTCTGATATTATACAAAAGCATCCTTCCAACATTGTCAATTTTTAGAACAGCAATGCCTATATGTCAACACATATTTAGTTTGAGGGAGATTTTCAATGTCGTTCAGTTTTGATGTCATGGTAACTGATCAGATCTCAGTAGGCCGCCACGATAGAACCAGCAAAATTCCCAACCAATGCATTGAGCCACATGTACATGTACAATCCCACTGCTATGTTATGAAATCATCTTAACCATAACCCTCATTACACAGTGACACTGCATCAAGTATAACTCTGGTAAAAGTGTTCATCATGCCAGAACATCATTCTACTTTGGCAGATAACCAAGTTGGCGGTGAGCCTTTTGATCATCAAAATATACCAGGGAGCAATGTGATTGACAGAATCATTACATCAAAGTCTCATATTGTAAGTATTCTCACATGCACACAGTGAAAGTCTGTCACCACTCAATGGAGGATCAGGAGGAAGGATGAGCGGGATTGTGTTTAAATGAACAGATGCAACATAGTGCAATTTATGGCCTGATGAGCATAAAATAACGCTTGAATATTTAAGGTTAAAATTGTTAAAGTGAATACAACTTTTTTGATTGGCAATTTAGATTATCACTTGCTTGACAACAACATTAGAATCTATGATGAAACATTGCCTTTCACAGAATTTGTATATCCATAAAATTATCATCATTCTGAATGGAACTTATTCAATATCCAAAATACATGGCCAGATTACACACACTAGAAACTGATGTCACAAATATGTTTATTGTAAACTGCTAATGTGACATTTTGAGGAGAAACTGCAAGAATTACATTAGAAACTCTTAACAACACTTCCTTCTTTGGACCCTGTACGGAGTTAAGACCCTAAACCGGAAGTGAATCAAGCTGTCAACACGGTGCGGTAACAAAGACGACTACGGAACCAGAAACTCACTTTCTGTGTAGGTATGCACCAACACTGCATTTTAATGAAATGCACAGTTTGTTATCATGACATATATTAACGAAAAATCCAAATATTTAGTCAGATTGATTTTGAAATCTCCGATATTTGCGTGAAGTTGTATGCTACTCACGGTTTTAGCACACGCAACTTGAAGTAAATTTATTATGATAGTATGTTTAGATTTTGTCAAGATCTAGATGGGGATGTAACAGGTATATATTGGCTACCATCACAGTTATTTAAATGATTTTTTATATCTTTACCAATAACGTAAAACATATCTTTCATAACAACACTGTTGCATTGCATTAGAGTATTTGAGATTTCAACGCTCAACATCGTAACACGTGAAGACACAGGTTAGAATTTATGTTCAGCAGGAAATGCATGCCATAACAGGCGAATAACGGGATCTGGTGACCCGGTTGACATGGATCAATGTTCATGATGTTAATCACAGGATTTTCATGTCTGGGCTCGATTAGTTACAGACCACTTTCCTCATAAGACTATTGCTGAGTACAACAAACAGGCAGTATCTAGAACAGGAATATATACAAGTTAAAGTTTTCTTTGAACAGTTGCCTGGGCATCTCTGAAAGTATGTATTGTGTGTAAAATCTTGAAATTAACTTGTAAAGAAGTATGAAACTGATGTAAAATCTGGACTAAGTCATTGTATATTTCATTGGCATTCTGTAATTAGTAGATTAGAAAGGGGTTTTCTCCCTCTATATAATCCATTCAGGTGATGGTTACTATAAATTTTGTTAGTTAAATGAAAAAAACCAATACATGTGTTTGTTTAACATGCATAAACATGTAAAGGATAGGCAGTAAATATGGTGGAAGTATTACGGGTATCTAACATTATCCCAGATAAGATGCTTGATTGGCATCTTAGAAGATGCTATTTGATGAGCATAGAGATTTTTCTGGGTTACATCTTCTTTTTATTCTTGAGTACAGTGTTTCAGGGCTTGTTCTGCCCTCATCATCAGTTTTATGTTCATTATCTCAGTTTGCTGAGTATGGGGCATCTAAGCATAACGATTCCCCACATGGGTACAATGTGTGAAGCCCATTTCTGGTGTCCCCCACCGTGATGGTGCTGGAATATTGCTAAAAGCGGCGTAAAACCAAACTCAGTCAGTCAGTCTAAGCATAAGACTCCAGACGTTCCAGAATTTCATCCCACTCCTAGGCAGGTCAGAAACATGTGATTGTCAGTTTCATAGAGACAATTTGATTAACAGTGATCTTATGAAAATTATGATTTTGCAAAAAAAACTCATTCTCATCCTCATTTCAAACAGTTACCTGACAATTGCAATGTTTTCAGCACAGAGAGGAGAGATGTGAGCTCCTGACGTACAACACAAGGTCTTTGAAACATCCTGTTTTCAAGTCAGTATGGCAAAGAAGGAGGAGAAAGAATGGATAGAACTGACAAAGCCACTTTCACAGAAACATCAACCAAATGGCGCCAACAGTCAACTGGTGACCATGACAGGAACTGTCACCCATGGTTACCAGACAGGGCAGACAGTTGAAGTTATGATGGAACTGACCGATAGTGAGCTGAAGCGTTTGACCAGCAAGGAAGATCACGCCACCTCACGTCAGTGTCGATGTGGGGCCAGACAGGGACTACATATCATTCTCCTCTCTGTCGTCTGCTTTCCTGTCGCTTTCATTGTGTCGGCCTGCATGGCGTTCTACCTGGGCAGCTTGACCTGGTACAATATTTACCTGTACTTCAGTGAGGAGAAGACAATATGGCACAAGGTGTCCCTGTGTCCATTGCTTATTTTAACTTTTCCCTTCTCAGTTGGATTGTCTGCTGTTGGGGTGGCGATGTATGCTGCCGTTGTCCAGGTGTCGTGGTGGTTCTCATCTTGGAGGAAGGAGTTTGCAGATTTCGAGAAAGGCTTCTATGGCTGGCTGTGCAACAGCTTGAGGCTTGCTGAGTGTTCACCCTATGAAACTGTTATACTGAATGAGACCGATGAAGAGATATTACACACTTCACGGTCATAAACATGATTCATTATAATAATGCAGCGTTGCAAGGTTTCAGTTTAATCTGAATGAACACATATCACCTCAGTGCTTGTGCAATCAAAATAATTGTATTACAACTTCAACTTATAGCAATTTGACCTACCTGTATGTTGGGTTTTTGTATTGACTAGATTTCAGCATGAAACTTTCCCTGGCTTTCTCTTCAATAGCATATTCAAGCTTCATGGAATAAGCGCTCAAATTGTTATATGGATATACAATGTATATCAAAGTTTTGATATGTTGAAACTTTCAACACAGCAACTCACATCTGTTTGTGAAGTCAGATTTCAAAGTAAACAAAAACAGTTTATGTTTGTGAGTATGGTGAACTTGGTGATTAGGTCTTTGATACTGGAATTATGCAACTAATTAGTGTCATATATGTATGACAATGACAATACTCTAGTATTACCACTAGGGGATTTCTTTTTATATTTGAAAGTGATCACATTATTAAATATTTAAAATGACATAAAGGGTATGAAAACACAAAACAACACAATAGACAAACAAAGTTAAAGTCGTTTAAATTAAAAGGCGAAAACTTGCTGGAAAGTAGAATTTTGACTTCTTTTTGTTTTAAAACGGGGCTTTTGGTATCGGAAACTTGAAGGTAAAAGATTATATTCAGAAAATAAAACGTGGCTTGAATCAGATAAAATTCTCTCCACGAGGTTAAGAACACGGGAATAAATTTTGGGGACTTTTTGCCCTTGTTTAAGTAGATTAGTGAACACGTGCTGACCATACTTTTGTACATAGTCTGGAGTAGGTCTACAAGACAAGTGTTGAAATAGTGCTTTAGTCACAAATTCAAGATACATTTAATAACATATTTGGACATTAATTTGATGCATGAGGCACAGGGTGTATGAAACATCTAATCTCTGACTGCCTTCCTTGTGTTATGTAACTTCATCAGTTCATGGTGGCAGCCATTACAGAGATTTGAGTGAAGCAAGGGAAGCAACTCTTGTATATTGTGTTTGTTTGTGTCAGCTATGTTGGACATTTTTGTTTGTCTGTAAATATGGTAATTTTGCTCAGTAGATATACAGCTGTCTTTGCCACAAACCTTTGATACTGAGATCCCAAATCACGAATTTCAAAATCAGTGACTGAAACCATGATTCGTGTCTTTACAGGGAAAATGTCAACATTAGTAGAGTTCTGTTGTGTGAATTCAAAGGTAATCTGAGACAAAATCATGAGACTATATACATTTGTTGTTTTTGTTTGTTTGTTTATTTTATTTATTTTTTGGGGTGGGGTGGGGAGGCCTCTAACCTATTCAGAGAAATGTAACATGATGGTTGTTGTGAACATATGAAAACATTTCATTACGCTGTGCTGATATCCGCTGGATAATCTGCTTGCATAATAGAACTACCACTTACTGTTGTATGTCATGGCTGCCGAGTGGCTAGTTGGTGAGAGTATTTTAAATTTTTATCCCCAACCCTGCTATCTTGGGGTAATTTATACATCTCTGTGTCTCATGTCTTTGCTGGATGTAGTAATCTCACGTCACCCTCTCTGCTCATGTGCCACCGGAGTCCAAATTCCGCTCAGCTCCAGGCTCTTTTGTATTTGAAGCTGAGTGTGATCCCTTCATATGCAACAGCACATACTGGCCCTGCATCTGGTAGTTCTTCAATATCTCACAGCACCTGCTCAGTTTAGCATCATTATCTGTACTTCATCTATATATCTCACAACAGGTGATCTAGCTAGTATCTTGTCATACTTGCTTCTGTTGCATCTGTCACATGTACTGTGATGTAGCCATGAACCTTACACAGGTAACACCAAAGTAACAATGTATTCCACTAATTAGTGTCATTCTGTACACTTAGAAAAGTAGTTATGGAAATATGTGTGTACCTTATCCCATGTCTGATGCTGGATTATCTCCCTTTAACTGTTGATGTTAATTTTCTCCACATTGTGTAACAGGTTGCCTGTGGCAACATCTGTCTCTTTCGTGTTTGGTCTGCAGAATGTGTTGTCAGTTGTGTAAGGGACCAGTTCAGAAGGTCATTGTGGGATGAAAACCTTGATTTCTCAGACATAGTTTTGAGACACACAGTTTCCATTACCAGTGGTGCAAAGAGCTTGTATGCCAAGTTGACTGCAATGTGCTCAGATAAGGATCAGAACTTTTGCTCTGCCTCTGTATGGAATTTAACAAATCAGTAAATTTGATTTTTGTCAGATTGAAAGGTGCACATACACCCACAAAATGAATTAAGATTTTTATGTAAGATCAAATTTTTTAACTTGCCTGCAATATGAGGCTTAGGGACCATTCATTATTTATGGCTGGGGGGTGATGATGATTTTTATGGAGAAGCATGTACAATGTGAATGGACCCCCACACCAAAAAAAAATAAATTTATGTACAAAATAAGTGACCCCTGTATGTCATGTACAAACTCAATGACCCCCTCCCCCTTCCCATAATTTCTAAGCATGTTTTAAACATATTTTATGTACCCCCATGACCCCCAGCTCCCAGAACAAAAACAAAATGGGTGCCCCCTTAAAATCATCACTCACTCTCTCTCTCTCTCACTCACTCACTCACACTCACACACACACACACACACACACACAGACACACACACGCACACAGAGCCATAAATTATGAACGGTCCCTTATGTGTGTGTTTCTGTTGACCAGCCTGACAGCAGTGACCGTTTCTGTGTTCAGATGCACTGAAGTGTTTTATCATGTGTAACTGGTAAACTGCTGCATCACCTCTGATCCCTTGGAATACATGTTGTGTCTGTGTTGTGGTGGAGCTAGTTATGGTTGTGAGTTTCTCAATGCTGCCTTATGTGTAACTATTTTCCTACATTACTGTGTGTCTTTGCACTGTGCTGAACTATTTTGTATCATAAACTGTTGAAATATTTTGTATCATTTACCAATATTACAATATGGAGAGATTAAAGCTGGTTGTGAGGCATTTGGAGGTCCAACAATTAACATACACAGTAGATTATGAATATTATGTGCTATTTGTTATAAGGCCTAAGAAAAAAATGTTGTGGTTCCTATTACCCAACCGACCCTTGAATTCTGGTGCCAACCCTAGTTTTTTTGCGAGGTATGAATAAAATAAGCTTTCAGATGCCATTGTTTTTTCCCAGCACCAACGGACATCGGTCATTCTGATAGAGAAAGTAGACATGATGGTTCGATTCGGGCCACATGGGCAAGCTTTCTGATTGAATAAACAATTACACATTGATAAATGTGTTATTAGTTTGTACTTTACTTCTAAAAAAATGTGAAAAAAAAATTCCTTCCTACCTACCCTAAATTATAAAGAGGTGTAATCGGAACCACAACATTTTTTTTATTTGGCTTAAGCTGTGGGAAAGGATATCTTATATGAATAAGATTATTTTGTTAAATCATTCGAATCAACAGTTCTTTGAAAGTGCCTACAGTGTAATGTAAACAACGTTACTTGTGATCAGATTTCTGTCTCTTTTTTGTGGTATTTAGAGTGGATATTCAAATACTGGAAGCATTTTTTACAGTTTCCTGGAAATATATGAACATTAAATCTCAATACACTGTTTGCTAAGACTTGATTCAGAATAGATCGGGCCATGAATTTGTCTACTCATCTTAAACTTGACAATTTGTTGTCAGTTGGCTCAAGTGTGGTGTGGGGGCGGTGGGGTAGTCTAGTGGTTAAAGCGTTGGCTCGTCACGCTGAAAACCCAGGTTCGAATCCCCACATGGGTACAATAAGTGAAGCCCATTTCTGGTGTCCCCTGCGTGATATTGCTGGAATATTGCTAAAAGCGGCGTAAAACCAAACTCAGTCAGTCAGTCAGTCAAGTGTGGTGTGTCACATGTTCCTGACGACATACTAGGTTTAGCAGAAGAGTGTTACTTGTGTCTCTAGCAGGTGCACTGTAGTTTACAAACAAAATGTTTATGTACATACAAAGAATTACAAATACCCCCTAAAAATGGTTCAACAGTTCAAATAATTCATGAAATTGGTCACACACACCCAAAAATGGATTAACAGTTCAAATAATTCTTTAGTTTAAAATGGTCACACACCCAAAGTGGTTCAGTAGTTGACATAAATCATGAAAATGGTCTATCACTAACATGCAGCAACAAAATGTTGTACCTAGGTAGATCTAGGTCAGTCATTGGCACAGTGCCTACCTTTTCACTGTACAGGTTGGACATACAACTCGGATGGGGTTATACAATCAGGAGGTTTGATTCTTTGATGATATATAATTGATTACTGTGCTGTTTATAGCTGAAGAGAACTCAGGTCTACGTAAGCAGAGTGGCCTTGGTCAATGTCCTTAGCATCAATCAGGCAGTGTGTTCAGGGTTACGGTAAAAGGCATTGTTGCGATTGTTATTTATGAAAATGTTTTCACAAGATTTTATATGATGACAAAATATCTATTTAGAATATGTCACAATAATTAGTCTAGAAACATTTGGAGACAAGATACAAATATGATGCAACAGAACCACCACAGTGATCATGGTAAGAAAGTGTCACTCTCATTCCTAGATGCAACATGTCATAGGTATTGTTGATATTGTTGGCAGAATGTTTCGAGTTCTATGTTTAAAGTATGAGTGCACTGTCACCACCTCCTCACATTTGTGACTGTCACTGATAGAACTAGTTTGTACATGGTGCATATCAGATATATATCACTGACACAATGATAACTATTTTTACACAAAATGTATGTGATGGATGTTGTGGAGCCCACATGCATCTGAAGCAGTGTGTTGTATACTGTGATGATCAACTGGGGTGTGATAAAGACCGTATCTACATACATGATACATGTCTATTACAGGTCATCTCTGCATGGGATATTGCAGTATATGACCTCCCTTCTTCAGATGCTGCTGCTGATGCTGTGGTAATGGTACTTTGTCATCAGTGTTTTTGCCTTTGTATTATATAAAGTCTAAACTTGCTGTAGTGTGAATTTGACATTCTTGATAATTTAATCACTTTTTCTTCAAGTGAGATATTTCACTCTAAGAACACTGAAAATAAGAATTCAACATTATCACCACGACACATACTGAGGACAAATGAACAACATGCTAATATTACTTCTGTTGACTACAATGTATTAATTAATGTCTTCCTACATCATAGTGGCCTGAAGTTTGTCATCAGTTCTTACTGTGGTTACCTCCTAATTGTGGTCTTGATTAACTGTCATGAAGATACTTATGATAACACAATGGCAATGTTATTTGTTGGTGAATCTACTTTTTGCACCTACATAACTTTCCGATAACATGTTTTAGACTAAGAATGTTAAAATTAGTGAACAAAAAGATTTTTATGCCAGATGTATATTTATTATTTATATGTCTACTTAATTGTTTTAATTATTTAAATATGAAATAACTACTCTTACAAGGTGAACAAATTCAAGAGTTTGTACCCATTTATGTACCTGAACAGTCTTCCCTATAAACTGTGAGCGACATACATAATTTAGAGGGATGTACCAGGATGATTAGGCATCACAGTGAGGAGAGAGTGTATCAGTGTCGCCACCACAGAGAAGCTGACGGTGTAAAAGTAATGAGGATTGGATGCCAGGGACTAGGTAATGACTTTGGTTTAAGTTTGAAGTCGAGTTCAAAAAATCTGCTTGAATTGAGATTGATTAAACTGATTTGATGTAGGCTTACATGTGTAATGTATTTTATTATGAGGTTAATTAAACACATTTGGTATGGACTAATAAGTGTAATGTTGTATTGTATTGTGAGATTGATTGAACTGATTGTAGGCTAACAGTGTAATGCTATTTTTTGTTATATTTTATGTGGTAAGCAGTGTGAAGATATACAAATAAGAGGTTATTATGTCATAATGTTCACCTCTCTGTGTAGATTTTGTGTTAGAACTTGTCCCCACAACCTATGATGGTTGTAAGAGACAACTTAATGCTGAAGGTGGGATTCACTGATGGTGTGTCATCATATCCCAGAAGTAGTCCGATTGCCTTGTCCAGACTCAATTGTACCCAGGCTGCCATTATTACTGGAGCATTGCTGAGAACTGCATAAAGAGCAAACACAGACAGGTTCATATGTGTAGCATAAACAGTATAACACAAGCAGAGATAACACGACCTCAGTTAACTGTTTTGCTCCGAACATGACATCCTCAATGAGCCAGGGAATCGGATCTCCATTGTATCAAGATAAATACCATGTACCTATTCGCTACATTAACTTTGTTTTGAGACCATTTTTAATGATATATTGGGGTATAAAAGTATCAATTGTTAGAGATATTGTGGGCTATGTTAGTGATAGACATGGTGATGTGACTTCATAATTGAAGAGGGCACTGGGGTAGCCTAGTGGTTAAAGTGTTTGCTCGTCACGCTGAACACCCGCGTTCGATACCCCACATGGGTACAATGTGTGAAGCCCATTTCTGGTGTTCCCCGCCATGATATTGCTGGAATATTGCTAAGAGTGGTGTAAAACAAAACTCACTCACTCACTCAAAAATGAAGAGTATACGTGTATATGTATATTGAACAGAGATAAACATGGGATCATCAAGGAAGCACACATAGAAAGGAGGGACAGTATATTTGGGATGTATGACTTATATTTAGGTCAGAGTAGCAAAAGAAATTTTTAAATGTTTAATTTAGGAAATCATGGTGCTATTGAAATGTGTATTTGCTTATTTCTATTTTGTCTAAATGTATGGTTCAGTGTATATTTTGAATATTTAATGTTCTGCTCAATGTGGTCAACACAGCACTTTCTCCTACAGACATGTATGGAATTGGTATGACATATGCTTTGATATGAGTAAAGTGAATCTTGTGTATGTGGTCTTCTTGTCTTATGTAGCTGAACCTTTGTATTATTGTGGACTAGCCACACAACTTGTGCTGATAACTGCAGAGTTGTGTCCCTTGACACCCTCACTTCCTTGTTACTCAGCTCCTCCAGTGGGACCTCAGCCTGCAGGAATCCACTGTGGAACAACTAAATACATGTGACTATCACAAAACATACTGTCCCAAATGCAAAGGATCATGAATAGTTTTGGAGATATTGTGTTTAGGTGACAACAGCACACAAAATTAAAAACATCCTGAACAATAGTCATGCTCCATAGCATTTTTTATGTTCAGGTTGGACCGCAAACTGCCCACAGTCATAAATATGATATATCTGGTAATTGTCCAAATTGTTTCTGTTTCTTTATTGTTTACAAGGTATCAAATTTCTATTACATGGAGAATAACTCAGTCAAGTACCGGTAATCCACAGGGTCAAATCCAAGATGCATCTCAACTATAGACCTTGGCTGGTCATAGTAATATACTCATGGAAACAAATAAATGAACACACAAAAGTGCAAGTGTTCCTATACTCTTTTCCAGGTTTCTCGTCATGCATTATATTGCACCGAGGGTGAACATTTGGAAATAAATAAAGGAACACTTGTACTTTTAGTTTTATGTTTTCCCTTATTCGTTTCCGTGAGTATATTTAGTAAAGTGATACAGGAACCAGAGATGTGTCGGGTGTGAAGGGAACCTGTGATTGTGGGTTCATATCTTTGTTTGTCCTCATCCCGCTTCCATATTTCTACATTCACCAAAGTAGTATGTCCCTGTGACTTACATCACTTCCACTTTCGAGCCATGAAGATCCGGGTTAGAATTGGTCTTCAGAAACCCATGCTTGCGGTAAGAGGCGACTAACGGGACCAGGTGGTCAGACTCGCTGACTTGGTTGCCAATTGCGTAGATCAAGGCTCATGCTGTTGATGACCGGATTGTCTGGTCCAGACTCGATTATTTACAGACCGCCGCCATACAGCTGGAATATTGCTGAGTGCGGCGTAAACAACAAACCAAGCAACCAACTTCTGCTTTCCTCCCACATCAGCAGACAGATAGTGGTGTTGCTGAAATTGTCTTCATTGCAGCGGTGGCTCACCAAATTTGTACACATTTGGCCTTCAAGTCACTTTCGGCTTTCCTCTTATATTTCATGTTCTCAATAATACTAGAATATTGTTCAAATCAAGACTATACTCTATGACCTGACTTTATGGAATAGTTTTTGTCATCTTGACAAACAAAGACTAGGATTAATTTAACTCATATATTTCATTTATTCATACATAATGCTGTTTATAAACAGCCAAATATACATGAACATGTGTCTCTGGAAAACAAATATGATATATGATTTCTCTACAGATACTGTACAAAATTAGCACTTGGTGACATGAAACGGACACACAAATGGCAATGTTTAGCACTTGGTAATAACAAACTCCATACAGGGCACTGCCACATGATACTTATTCACACAGGGCAATGTACAGCACTTTGTGACAACTCCACGCAGTGTGGTACTGCCATATGGTTACCACACAAATATGAATTCAATTTAGGAATTCATTCAGATAAAGAAACATAATGGTGTTACATATTGCAACATACATCAACAAGTACACATGACATCCACAAAGGCACTTGTGGTCAGATAGGATGGTGGACAAGTTTTAACTTGAATTTTAAGCTGAAAATGTCATGAAAAGAACTGCTGGCATATGAAGCATGTAGTGTGTGGAGCTGTGGGCATGTGTAGCTCCTTCCCATACCGTGCTACCTTCATTCTATGTATATTTGTGTGTATGTCTTAGGGAATGCCATCATAGTGAAGTTTGAAAAGATTTGCTGTTTCCTTGATGCAGATGAGTTTTGTTATTTTAATGAGATTGGTTTGAGACTGCAGCCCAGTGGATAAAACAGTCAACTTTGGCCCCATATTCTTAGTATAGCAATTACATCATAGATGCAAGACTCGCTATGCTCAGGTGTTGGATACTGGCCACTTGAAAGTATGGAAGTCTCTAACAGGCTATTTGTAAGAGTAAACAAATCTGGTGGGGCCAAATGTTGAGTACTGAATCATTGGGAGGTATGCAGAAGCATGGAAATGGGGTAAAGTGAGGAGGGCCATGTGTGAGGAGTATGGTAGTCTGTCAGGGCCATGTGTGAGGAGTATGGTAGTCTGTCAGGGCCATGTGTGAGGAGTATGGTAGTCTGTCAAGGCCATGTCAGAGGAGTATGGTAGTCTGTCAGGGCCTTGTGCAAGGAGTATGGTAGTCTGTCAGGGCCATGTGTGAGGAATATGGTAGTCTGTCAGGGCCTTGTGCAAGGAGTATGGTAGTCTGTTGGGGTCATTTCAGAGGTGTATGGTAGTCTGTCAGGGCCTTGTGCAAGGAGTATGGTAGTCTGTCAAGGCCATGTCAGAGGAATATGTTAGTCTGTCAAGGCCATGTCAGAGGAATATGGTAGTCTCTCAGGGTTATGTCAGAGGAGTACGGTAGTCTGTCGGGGTTATGTGAGGTGTATGGTAGTCTGGGCATATTTATGGAGATTTGTCATTTATCTTGCCCGAGATGTTTGATAAAGAAGGTAGATCTGATTCCAGGTTTATCCTAAGAACATCCTGTTAATGACTTGTGTTTGTGTATATGAGTATTGTACCAATCCAGGTAAAAATGTGTACATACCCAAATAAGGTTGTCATTACATTCTGGTGTGTTTGTACCAGAACATGTAACATGACAGCAGCTTAAGTTCTCGGGTTTACCACTGGCTATAGGGATACTACTAGTGACTATGAAGCCATAGTCTTGTCAACAACTATAACAGCTAGGCGGTAGATACTATAGTTATAGTACTAATGTCAAACAAGGAATATTGCCATGATTGAACTGCATCTTAGTCATGTTTCCATTGTCTGGTGTCCACATCTACGTGTGAGACAAAGTGCTAGCAGCCTGTGGAATAAACAAGTCTGCATAGAAAACTGGCATATTTTTATCCTCCATGGGATGCAAAGGACTGAAACTGGCACACAATGTAGCCTTCACAATGGATGTCATCCAGACTGGTGGAACTGGTTGCAAGGTACTCATATCACCTTGCTATCTGGGCTATAATACCACCTTATAAATCTTGTATGATTGTACAGCATTGATGATAGCAGAGTTGTACAACAGCCATTATCTCATACACAAGAGACTGGAACCCTTCACACAACCCCAGCATTCTGACAGTGGTGTCTTGATCCAACCCCACCATTCTGACAGTGGTGTCTTGACACAACCAAACCATTCTTACAGTGGTGTCTTGACACAACCCCACCATTCTGTCAGTTGTGTCTTGACACAACCCCAGCATTCTGACAGTGGTGTCTTGACACAACCCCACCATTCTGACAGTGGTGTCTTGACACAACCCCACCATTCTGACAGGTCTTGACAGAACACAAAGCTGATGACATCTGGGTCTTGAAAGAACACAACCTTGATGACAGGTGGAATATGGACACAGCCAACCTTGTATGAGACTTCAGGAAAAGCGCTTTGGTTGCTTGAACACAGTTGAATCCAACTGCTGAGATCACATAATTTCAAGGGATATCCATTAAACGAAATGTTATGTCTTTGAACTGACATATGAGAATGACTTCTCTGTGACTTCAAGTTTCTTACCATGTTAACACTGTTCGCTTAGAGACAGCTCAATCGTTGTGACTCAGCAGAAGGATGGGTTGGTGTGCTCAATGATGCAGCGCCTGCAGTACTTCTTGACAGTCCTGTAGGCTTGAACACTGAGGTGGCAGTCTTGGATATTGAGCTGCTGCAGGCCCCGACACTGATACGCAATCATCACAATTCCTTGGTCCGTTATGAGGTCACAAGACTTGAGACTGAGCTTGCGTAGTTGAGGACACTTTTCTGCAAGTACCTGCAGTCCATCGTCTGATATATCACACTTCCCAATGTCTAAAGATCGTAACCTGGGGCAGTTTGCTGCCAGGAATGCAACTGCATCATCAGACACAGCTTCACATCCGCGGACATTCAGATACCGCAGCTTCAAACAATGTTTTGCAATGTAACACACACCAACATCTGACACTCTATCACACTTTGCAACACTAAGGTATCTTAAATTCTCTCCTAACTTTGAGAGTTCCCGCATACCAAGGTCAGTAACTCTCCGACAGTCACTCACACTGAACTCACGCAAGTAGGGACAGTTGCGTGCAATGTGTTGGATACCCTCGTCAGATATGTGGACACATCGTCGAAGGTACAGAAACTGGAGGTGCGTACAGTGAGAGGTGATGATACCCAAGCCCTGGTCTTCAAGGGCGTAGCAGTCTGTCATGTCCAGGTAACGCAGGTATATCTGGTGCTGGTGGCGGGCCATTTGTGGGGACGACATACCATCTGTCAGGCTGATGCAGGTCACCAGGGCGCAGCCTGAAAGTATGGAACAACACTTTTATCAACAGACAAGCAACGATCAACGTTAGACCAGAACACACCCTGAAAGAATCCAGCTTTAATAAACAGTTTAGCTAAAAGAGTTCATGGCGTTAGACAAGAGCTCGCCCAGAAAGTATGGAACAGTTTGGTATAAACCATACAGTAATGTTAAACCTGACCACATCATAGGGAAAGAGACTTTAGCATATAATGGACTAACCAACACGATGAAATTTGTATTATGATCTGACCTAGACAGAACTTTATTAGGTTCAATACATCAATCTATACCTCATTCGTGGAAGCCGTAGTGGCTGAGCGGGTTAGGTGGCTGACTTTGTGTGCTGCCGATTATGTTATATAGATCTCCTAAATAAATATATAATTTATATAATGAAATATTGCTCACAAATCATCAAAGTGCTTGGTAATTTGATGTGTCTTTTGATTTCAAAGTTTTCACTTGCTCTGACTACATGTTGTCACGGTAACAAGATCAAAACACACTGATAGAAACATGAACTAACATAAAACATGAGGAACATGAAATTTTAAGCTTGTATATTTACTTAACTAGGTAAACCGATCCTCTGGAGGGGGTGTTTCACTGGTGATACTTGATGATTTCAAGGACAGAACAAGGTCAACCCAGATCCCAAGCCAGATACAATAATCAGCAGTATCTACTTTCTGTTTCCCAGATAACGAGAAAGCTTCGATCAGTGGTGATTTATTCATATGTTTACCCACCTCAAGCTTGTACAGGTTTCTCAACAGTAGAACAGAATCAGTCACTCATTAAAAGTTAAAACGAAGCTGTTAAGCATCATGAGTCATAGTAGGACATAATGAATAATTTATTAGATTTTCACTCCAATGCTTCACCACCAAACAACCTGTGCTACACCATTCTACTGTCCCAAAGAATCTACAGATAAAAAAATATTACACAAGTTGGTTTCTTTGATCTCACCAGTCGAGTTCAATATTAACACAAGTTCAAAGAAATAACTATGGACACTTGGGACTTACATGCAAAGTTCTAAGAACAAAAAATTACATGTGGTTGCTCTGTTTATTGGATACTGGATTAAACTGTATTTAAGTCCATGTTAATATTGTTTAACTGCAACACTTAAACAGCATAGTGTTTTCTAATAATTCAATGTTCATGTCAATCATATTTTTTATTTGTGCAAAAAAATTGAAAGTAACTCTCAAGACCCTCTATTCTCATTTGTGAAAAGTACCTGATGCTCATGTAGTTGGCAACCTCTGATGATCAGGTTTCTAGATATCACACATATTATCAAACATAAGGTATGGTGTTATAGGTAAGGTGGTCCATTACAGTCCTTTGAAAGCCAGTAAGCTATGATTGCTTCTTTGAATCCCAGATTTTCCCTGATCATGTGTTTAGGTTTGTCTTTGAAAGGGAGTTCATGTTACATTTGAATCCCAGATTTTCCCTGATCATGTGTTTACGCTTTGTCTTGAAGACATGTTACATTCGATTCACACCGACGACACAGGTTCGATTCACCACATGGATACAATATGTGAAGCCCATTTCTGGTGTCCTAGATATTGCTGGAATATTGCTAAAAGCGGCATAAAACTAAGCTCACTCACTCACTCATTCTACATCAAGCTGACATTCAGCTATGACTGAAATACTGTTATAACCCCCCCTCAAGGGAATATGGAAAACAGTGGCATAAAGCCAAACTAACTCACTGAGTGGAATTGTACAACCTACAGAGCAAGGATGAGTTGTTACCACTTGGACATATTTGAAACATTAAAGGTCTCATCAGCATGATGACCACATGTCAGTGTAAGCATTTAACAAAGCATTTGAAACATTAACTGAAACCCAGCCTTAAGTTTGAGATGTGTTAGCAATGTGTAAATATTCGTGTTTGGGTTACCTGTCACATCAAGGTGTTCCAGGTTGACGCAGTTGGACACGAGTTCAAACAGGGCGACATTGGTGATGTTTGAGCAGCCTTGTAGCTCAAGGTATCGCAGCTCAGGGCACCGTCTTGCAATAGTATGGAGTCCTTTATCCGTTAACTGTTCACAGCCATTCAGAATGATCCGTTCCAGAATCACACAGACCTTGGGCGTATTGTAACTGAGACGCCTTGTGAGATACTTTAAAGCCTTATCAATATTAATGGTTTCATTGTTTATGACTATACTTGTCCACAGGAGAGGGTATTCCCAGATCAGTCTGTACCAGCGCTTGCAAACACGCCTCACGCGACACACATGGTCTGTAGGAAGGTTAAGTAGAATTCGGAGCATGATATCGTCTGTAAGGAGTTCGAATGGTGCTGGACGGACATATTTCCCTTTTGTCGATGTTGAGGACAGCAACCTACTTGTGTCCTTTAATTCTACTTGTTTCATACTGGACATCACTGATTCCATGGACTCAATGATCCGTGGGTCGTACACAGAGTTCTTGTAGCAAGACCTTGATTGGCGCATGTGCATCTGAACGTAATTATTGGAAGTCTTGGCCTCTCCAGGTAGGCGAGCCCACGTCACACTCTTTGTGCCAGAATCCTGAGAGGAGCTGGACTCGCCCTTGAAAGTCGTCATCGTTGCGGGTGGGTAGTTGTAGCTCGCAACGTCTGACGCAATCCCCGAACTGGAATCATGAACAGAGTCTGGGGGCTGGACTTGGTCTGAAACAGGCACATGGTCATTTAGAATGTGTTCCTATTTGGGTCATAATTTAGATTTCAAACCTGTAATTTTCATTCTAAACCACCAACATTTGATAGCTCTCGGACAGACCAATCAGAATGTTGTATAGCTCACTATTCAACATGTGCAGTAGTCATATAACCTTAATTCCTTTGAGAGGGGCTCCTTAGTCAACAAATATATTCAAGCATCAGACGTTTTGAGAAGGTAACTTCACAGACAGAGTCCAATGGATTAAATCTAAATCACTTGTACACTAACTTCTGAAACTCCCATTTTTACTGATTAGGGCACCAGCATCCCTCTACTTCCAACCACTCATAGTCGTACACACATGTACAACGTTCCCTTCTTCATATCTTGGGAAAGACAATTTCTGGATACATTTTAATATGCCCAAGAACAACTTTATTCATCACATACCACAAATAATCACAATCATGTTTATATTTATGTAAAAATAATTACTTTATCATTTCATGCTTGACAGAGTATAACTGACCATTTGAAAATAATCATTTGTTCTGGATAATACTTTTAAATTGTACCTGTATGTACTGATGTATTGGCAGAATGTTTATTCTGTCTCTGACAAGCATCAAATCCCATCACCCCACAGCATTTTTTTCAAAGAATTCTCCTTCCATTCTTAATGAGTTATTTGAAGCTGTGACATCATTCATGTTTATATTTACTGGTTGCTATGTACATCAGCTACTATAAACAGAGAGAAGCAGATTGTGTCCAATATTCCGTTGACATCAGCTGCAGTGGCTACGGAAACTATCTGACACGGAAGACTGGCGACTCCAGGGGAGCGGAGCTAATGACCCACCTGAGAGAACTAGATGACTCGGGACTCCGTTTGCACTCAGCAGTTAATGTTACACACATAAAGGTGGGATGTGCCAACAAGGACAGTAATTGAAGCGATCTTAAAGAACGTTTGAACTCCCCACCATTGCCTTGAAAAGGATGAGTTTAACTGTCTATAGGATAGCTGAAGTATTTTATTAATAGTTTGGAACACTAACAATATATATTAGGTGACGCATACATGTAAAGGGCTAGTTCAACTGTCTGTAGGATAGCCAAGGTATTTTATTATTACTGGTTGGGCCACTAAAACATTCCAAGGCTGAAACAATGCACTGATACACTGGTTCCTCAAGATATCATACAAGAATTTAATATATGCACCAGTATATACAACACATTATTGTATGAATCATGTTACAAATTCTTCATTATCATGAACCATTTGGGATTTTACCAGGACTTTCAACTAAGTGCCCCTAGCAGGCAAATTTGAAAAGAATCACTATTTTGTTCAACAATGACATTTTTTTAAACTTTATATTTTCTTTCAGAAGTAGACTTATTTTAACATTGTATTTAGAGCTTACATTACGAGAAATGATATGCACATAAGAGCCCCTTCCTATATATCGGTGAAATACTGTCAGAATGAGCTAGGACCATATAGGCCATATAAGGAGCTATTTGTTACATAACCTTGAATATTTTTAATTCCCTCAATTGATTTTTAATTACTTTTGCTGCAGAATTTGGTGTGAATATCAGTCTCTGAGCAAGTCTAGATATTCCAATGATGGCTGATTGTCATTCTGTGCAATAGAGACCTAGACAACTTTGAAACAGTTCACTGGTAAGAAGTACAAAGATTTATCACCATTATTAGTGTACCAGAAGTTATCTGTGAAACAGTATTGAGGTAAGTGGTACCAAGACTTCTGGGAATTTACAGTTCAGTAGTAAGTGGCACAAAGATACATTACTAATCTCAGTGTACCAGAATATCTGTGAAACAGTCCTTAGTTAAGTGGTACTTAGACATATCAGTGTACCAAATTATCTGCTAAACAGTTCTCAGGCACAAAGATGTGTTGAACAGTTCTTGGGTAAGTAGGACCAACATTTACGTGAAAGTCAGGAAAGTGGTACCAAGACATCTCTGAAACTGTTCTTGCCAATGTTGTGACAAATTCTTCAAGGTAAGTATGTCATTATAAAAATATTTGCTTACTATTTGCCTATTCTATTTTATTTCTACAATCTCTACAGTCCCACATTCTTGACTGTTACTGTCACACCCTTAATTTGTCAAGAACGTCCTTGTTTTTCATGTGTTTGTCGTCTTTAGGCATTGAGGATTACTACTTCCTTAAACAAATACTGAGGTTCATCAGTTGAGCCGGCAGGATCGACAAGGCAAGCTGGGACTGGAGGTGTAGTTGTTGCTGTCATGTACCGTCTACTACTAAATCTATTCACCTCATCATGTCTATTTCAATTACAATCTCTTAGCAATATTTAACATTAACTTAGATGGTACAACAAAATTTGGTTTCACTCATTGTAGTCATGTCAGAATTGAACTTTGGGTACCATAATGAGTTAATGGTATGACTATAAGCAATCTGAGTGCCAGTTTTTCATACTGAATACTAAAGGTATCAATACAGATACATTAATGCAAGATTAGCTTTTCACTATAATACTGGCAGTGCATTATTGCTTCAAATATTCCACCTCTGTGCTACAACTACCGTTTGACTGAAGGTGTTATAACCCTTGTATTCATGTGTTATTAGTGTACCGATATCTCCGACAGTGTCATTCAGTCATATTATACTACTTGTATACCTCTTTTACTGAGGGTGCCATAACCCTATTATACCACTTTTACTGAAGGTGTCATATATGGTCATACCACAGTTGTGAGTTAACAATGCATGCCACATATGCACTGAGAATCTTACTAATCTCTAGTTCTATCAAATATATCAACACAGTTTGAAGAAAAACCTTTAAGATATTTGGCAAGTTTAGTAAGGATGATGCAAGGTTACAATGCTGTGACTTTAAGGTCTTTAACAGAACAATCCCAAGCAAAGCCCACTCAAAAGACAAAATATTTCTTTTTCCCTTACTGACTGGTTTATAATCATCAAGTTATCCCAGGTGTGTTATTTCTTGCTTTACATTTGTTCTTAATTCACCAGAAAACAGAAAATAGGCATGTTGAGCTATATCAATTTGATGCCATTGGTGGAGTGTTAAGCACAATTTTCTTATCACTAGCCATGCTTACCAGTTTTCAGACACAATCACTGATGTGTTACAACATACTGTCAAGCACATGAAAACCATTTTACAGTGCAGTGAAGTTTTAGTTTGCATTCATTTAAATTCAGACAGTTTGTAATTTAAGAAAACATTTTCTACTTTTCGTCTTTTACAGGTAGGTAGCATCCATAGACCATATTTTTATAAAATGTCAAGATTCAGAAGTTCAGGTCAGCAATTTGTTTACTTGTTTTGTTCTTCCCCATAAAGTCCACATGTTGTATGTAAGAAGGCAATGCAATACTTATGGTCAAAAAGAAGTCACACATTTATTTTTTTGCAAAGCATATTGCATATCTCTAGAAATGCCTTGAAAGACATTATTAACAATCATTACAAATTGAATTTGAACAACCAATTGAGTTTTCATTGCGAAATTAAGGGAGTGTTTTGCATAAAACAAGATAAAATGGTCTATACTAATTCTTCAAGAAAAGGTGGTGTTAATTGTCTTGTAATCATAATTTTTCTAATAATAGAAGTGAACATTTGAAACTCGATCAGGTGCACACACAGATGGCAATGGCAATCAAACCGTTGATGACCTGGAAAGCAATTACAGGAAATATGACCCGTATTCTCCAGCACTCATGTGGATATAATTGCGTATACAATTACAGGGCTCAGATTGCTTCATGCTCTCTCCCACATTCCCCTTTCTACAGTACCAGGAACAGGACTCATTGTCCCCAACACTTGTCTGAATACAATCCCAGATGGGGCAGATTGCTGCACTACCATCTACACATATATCCCTTGATTTTAAAAATCGTCAAATCTGCTGTTTATACAGCTTATCAAATAAAAGTACAATGGATCCATTTGCGACCATTTCTGAAAAGGGATTAAACCCAAACTGGATTTACAGCCTAACATGTTGCAGACATTATCAGTGTTCTGGACAAAAGGAAGAAACTGCACAATGGAGTTGAACTATCACACATATGCATGGAATCTAACATCATGGGTAACTTTATACCCAGTGCTAACAACCATGAGTGAAGAAAGTTTCTTACACACCCATGCATGAGAAACCCATGTGAAAAACTGGTATCAAACATATGTGTGATTGATTTCCATGTTGGTGATTGGCTCGTCCATGGCGATAACCTGACGTCGATTGTGATGGACTACTTTCCTTATTGAACTTCACTGAAATGGTATCTGCCACACACTACTGTAGTAATCTTTGCCATAACTCATTCTGGGTACACATACTCACTCTCTGTTATCATTTTACTATCAAAACAGTTTGTTGCTTAACTCTGTACACAGCAATTTTCCAGAGGACTGTAATAATCCATTGATTGACATAGTGTCCAATGATCCATGTCATTAGGTACTAGGATATACAGTGAATCAAGTCACTGGACCTCACACCATCATCAACAGTTGCTAGAGATCTGTTCTAACCCTGGTTGGCCACTGTGGTATTGAAACTGTCTAAATCCATGCATAACACTGTTACTCTGCAACTATTTGGACTGCTCTAATCCCTGTCACTGTGGAACTTCTGGTTCTGCCTTAACCATATTTTGCTATGTAACCTTCAGTGTAAGGTCTTTAGGCTTAAACCTTAAACAACACTGTATAACTTTGTACATATCTAAAACAATAGGTTCACTGTGTTACAGGTAACGAAACTGTTCACAGTGGATCAGTTTGTTCCTAATTTAAACTAACAATCTTTATTTTATTCTTATCATTTCAGAAGACATAAGCAATGTAATTTGTGTCCAGCCCTACAAGAATATGTCCCCAGTATGTGTATTCAGAAGCTTTAGTACATGGAAAGAGAGTGGAAGTGTTGTCCGGGAGTGGGGTCTCC